CCCCCTAGATTCCCCCTGCCTCCCTATAGACGCAACCCCTTCAATACCCACACACACACAAATGCAAACACCAGTGAAGCAGTTGTTGAACGGCAGGTATAAGATGTCAGGATGGTGTGCACACAGGATGCAGGCACGGCTCCGAGCGTCGTTCCTGCCGACAGCCCCAACGGTTGACATAGTAAATCAATCCTGATGGGAGGGTGGGCAGGGCGGAGGTTGGGGAGGGGCAGGGGCCCAACGGGACTGAGCCGGCCTCTGTCAGACACACTCAGCCACTCAGCCAGCCGGAGAGAGACTGTCGACGGGTGGGAGAACACTCGCCGGGAAACGCTCACACGGAGATTGAGTTACCACGGAATTAGATCAGGGCTGTGGGAAACAGCACCTCCTAAACACACTTGCACACTCTTGCTCACACACACATAAACACACGCAGACACACCAGCACACACTCAGGCCGCACTCTTGCACACAAAGAGTCACCAAGGGAAACCTGAGGGAAGATTGAGGAAGGCAGCTGGGCACACGCCAGTTTCAAACAAATGCTTGCTTATACCTCTTAGCTCGCTGGCACAGCCCTGGTGGTAGTTACTTCAAACTGGTGCCAGGGTCAACAGGCAGTTTGGCATATTGTCGACGCTATTAAACGTAAGGCTGAAGAGGAATGCTGCAATCACTGACGATCCAACGAAGTAACGATCCTTCTTGCAGAGAGTATGAAAATGTTACAGAAACTCACAATGAACTCAACTGGTGTGGGGTCGAAAAAACACGGCGATGCTACAGGTGACAAGCCAAGGTCTTTTAGGACAGAATAAAATTACCCATAATGAACCAATGGAATGCCAGCACTAATGTTAAAGACCTTGACAGTCAGGTGTGAGAAGTGTGAATTGTGCCTGTCTAATGGGGACCACATGAACCCGCCTGTCCTGTGAAACCCGGTGGCTCTGTAGGGTCCTATTACCATAATGGTATTATAAACAATACCAAAGTGATCCCAAATATACTCAGGCTGTCATTCAGCTGAGAGTCATGGAAAGGCCATGTTCGCTTCAATCCGTGGCAAGGAGAAAGAGGAGGGATTGGACCTGATCCAGTCGGGATCTGCATTTAAATCTGCTCCAATTTGCTGGATTTGGAGAGAAAAACAGCCACTTCAGTAATACGGTCCAGATAGGGAGTATGCATGCCTGCGCTGTCTGTCAGCACTGGATTATGCACATGTTGAGGCCCATAAATCTGTCCAGTAGCAGTGCAGAAATGCATGAAATGGGTTAAGGTATAGGGATGACTTTTTTTTTAGTGAAAGTGTGTGTAGACTGGGAGGAGTGTGTGTGTGTGTGTGTGTGTGTTGCACTTCATTCACACTCACTGCATCAACAGACTGGCTGGAGCTTGCACATTGTATCTGTCACCACTGAAGCCTCTCTGACGTTCTGGGAACAGCATGTTGGCCCACAGTTGCTCCCTGGAATCAAACTCTCATCCACACTTGTCTAGCTCCTGACTCACACAGTTAACAACTGACCTGATGGACAGAGCAGAGAAACAGCTGCCTCTCTACACGCCACTGGAATGAAAGTTCCTCACCGGAGGTGGGAGGGGTCGTGTTCCCTCTGATGGCCTTAACAGACGCACAGATCACTGCGTGAATTAAAACTGGCAAAATGCAGAGCAACACGCACAGATCACTGCGTGAATTAAAACACTAAAAACTGGCAAAATGCAGAGTAAAGTGTAAGAAATTGCAGCAATATTTTCATGACAAAAAACATGGTTGAATACTGCATAGCATACAGTATACTTGAAGTTCTCCAGTGTCTCGTCTTGTTGTAAGTGATTCAATTACAAAAATAAAAATAATAATATTTTACAAAAATGAGAATTACGCAACCCTCTGCAGTAACCCCATGTGCCCACAAGGGTCACTTTTTGTTGAAGACACTTGAGTTCATGTTTAACAAAATCAATCAATGAAACTAAATTAAATTTTATTGTCATTTTATTAATAAATTTGATAATAAATCAGATACTGACATATTATATTTTAGTATAAATTACTTTTAGAAAGTGTGTCAGTTGTTTTTCTATTTAATTACAACAACAAAAATATAAATAGTTTTACTAGCATTTTACATTAATATGACAAAAGTTTATTTAAATATTTGCTATTAGCCAATAAAAACAGGGTTCTAGCCTAATTGCTGGACCTGATGTGCTCCAGGTGAGAGCTCTCCTGTAATAACGCACAAATGACCAATAATAAAACTAATTATTATTATTATTTTATTATTATTGTGTTGACATGCTATAGACACACGTGTGAACATCACCTCTCTCTCCCACTCTCTCTTTCTCTCTACAGGAAAAGCCTGACAGGATCAGTTACACAGTGCAACATAAACATTGATGGCTACCCCGTTTTATGTTTGCCCTTGGACCCCTGCACATTAGTGGGGTCAGAATTATCACACCTTCTGCAGACCACCCTGTTTCCCTGAGACCTTTATGTTTCCCTGCTTATTCAGTGCCAGAATTTTTATTTTTAACATCTTATGAGCAACACTTTCAACTTACCCGGGGTTCTCAATCACTGGTCTGTGGCCCCTGGTGGTCCATGAAGACATAACGTTATGGGTGGGTTTGTTGTCACAAGGCACAGGAAAGTGTAAGTGCAAGAAAGGACACAAAACCAGTCTTCACACTAACCGCCGTGGACACCATGTTCTATAAAACCTGATGTTTGAGCATTTTTATTCAAGTGTCTCTCCCTCTTTTTTCCATCTCCACAGATTGATTAATAATTCCCTGGGAAGTTCTCCCTGTACCAATGAGTTGGCAGCAGGGATTGTTTCCTAGGAGAGTCTGGCAACACTGACTGCCTAAAGCTAGGCCTCAGAGCTGATCACTGCTGTTTTGGAACCACACAGCTGACGACAGACAATGAACAACACACTCTGCTAATAGGCCGTGTGTCTTCCACAACACCACAGAAGAAGAAGGCTCCTGCTATAATGCGCTTCAGACTGGGTCTCAGCAGGGGAAGCAGGGACTTAAAGCCATAAGTCTGCCATCCAGTCCCCGACAGCATGTGAGAAAAGGCCTGCCTTCACTTAATGCTTTCAAGAGGGTGTCGCTGCCCGAGTCTGTAACTTGTTTCTAAATCACTTCTTAATGATATTTGTTTAAATTCTCCTCACGCCTGGACAGCCATTGAGGAATATATCTGTGGAGGTTGAAAAAAAAGAAAAACAAACCTGGTGATTAAGAAGTCTGGGAGACGTTTAAGGAGCAGGAAACACTGGGACTGATGCAATCTGAGCAACCCACGCCTGCTGGTCTGCTTTCTCAAAGATCAGCAACTTAAAAAAAAACAATGGGTTAAAACTGTGACAACCACAATCTCAACCACCTGGACTTTGCAGCAACAATTAATTATCTTAATGAGTTCATGTTTAACAAACAGAAAAAGCAGGACGTGAAGTCAGTGAACGACTTTTCTTTGTTCCTTCACCATCTGAATGTTATCAGATGAGAAATATGAGATTATCACATTTCAGAAAGACTCTTATAGGAAAAGGGTTTGAATTGCATTTACATTGAATTGCCAATATTAACCACTAATACAGGTCAGAGTTTTGTTTTTATCCCCAGTCCCTGACTGGGAATTTTAAAGATAAAAAGTAAAAATACTTTTCTGTGTTTAAACATTCCATTCATTCTTAAAATGGCAAATATCTTCCTCAGAGCTCCTGTTATTAGTATTTTATTAATTCTCAAAACACAACTCTTTCAAACGCCAGCTGGAGTACAGCACGATGACGTATTTCTCAGGCACCGCCCACTTCCATGTTGTGAATCCGCCCCTTGCGAGCGCTGTGAAAATAATCCCAGCAGCGGTCGATGTGACACAGTCTGCCGTCTGTGTGTCAGAGCATCAGTGTCTGGTCTCATCAGCAGCAGAATGAAGCGCAGTCACAACTACAGCTCCTCCGACAGCGACCTGGACGACAGCGTGGAGGTGGAGAAGGACAGTGGTGACGAAAATGGGTGAGACTGTCGTAAACAACACTAGTATTTTTCTTTGGAGTCGCATGAACAAGCCTGTTTTTTTTTCTATTCTATGACGTATTAACGTCACAAATTGATTGCGAAAGTTTGACTTGTTAACAACGCGAAGTTGTGTCTTTAAAAAAAAATTGTTTACCAGATACTTTTGCAAAACTAGTGACTGCTCTGCATGGGATTTCTTGTGTATTGCTGACTGTGTAAAGTCTTAGACTATAATCTGCATAACTGAGTCTGTAATAAGTTTTAAAAAAAACTCTTAAATCTAAAAAAAAGTGTTAATTTTGCATCTTTCAGACCAATGGATTCACACTGCTCCACGTCACCTTCCACCACCACCCAAGTTCAAGCCAGAAAGAGGCGCAGAGGAGTGAGTGTCACTTTAAACACATGTCATTTATTTTCTCTTTGATCTGGTTTAAATTTTCATTTTAAATGTTTGGTTTCTTCTTCCTTTTTTTTCACCAACAGATTATAGAAAAACGTAGACGCGACCGGATCAACAACAGCCTCTCAGAGCTCAGGAGACTAGTGCCCAGTGCCTTTGAAAAACAGGTACACCAGTTTATGGTATAGTCTAGTCTTTGGTTTACTTTTAGGTATAGGTTTTAAAATCAGAAAAAAATTGCTCTAACAAAGATATAATAACCATCTTGTCTAAGCTGTTCGAGACACCTGAGTCATGTCTCAACATGCTTCAGTTGTCAAAAGAAGTCAGTTACTGAAATCATAACATTTGTCTTAGAATTTTTTGACATACCTTCATCTATAGTGGCTGGTCTCTGCTGCATATCTACATCAGTTCGGGCGGTTCTGGGTCCCTAAAAAATGTTAAAAATCACTAATTTAAACTTATTAGTGATTGCAGACATTTTTATTAAAAGTTCATTTAAAAAACCCAAACATTTTTCTTCTACTTTTAAGGGATCGGCTAAACTGGAAAAGGCAGAAATTTTACAAATGACCGTGGACCATTTAAAGATGCTTCATGCTTCTGGTGGTAAAGGTAAATCAGTCATGATTTTAATGTTCGATCTATGAAATATTTTCCCCTTAATTAAACACATACTACTGCAGTCCATCACAGTACACCACTCTGTGTTACCCCCTGAAAGGTTACTTTGAAGCACATGCCCTCGCTAAGGATTATCGCAGCCTGGGCTTCAGAGAATGTCTGGCAGAGACGGCGCGTTACCTGAGCATCATGGAGGGTCGGGACAGTACGGACCCCCTCCGTGTTCGTTTGGTGTCCCACCTCAGCAACTGTGCCTCCCAGAGAGAGGTGCACTCTGGACTAGACCACATTGCCTGGGGGTCTTCCTACAGAGGTGCCCCTGCTCATCTACCCCACCCTCTGCTTCTGCATCACCCCCAAGGCAGGACACCTGCATCCAGGAGAAGCAGCAGCCCACCATCCTCCTCTTCTTCCTCCTCCTCCTCTCCCCCCTCCTCTACATCTCCTTCATCCTCCACTGAGGCATCTGGGACATCCAGACCAAGCGTCCTGCCCCCCACAGAGTCCCTCAGGGTGTCTCCCAACAGCTCGTTGCCCCTCAGTTTGCCCGTGCCAACGTCCAAGCTTTCACCCCCACTCCTCTCATCCCTCTCCTCACTTTCAGCCTTCCCCCTCTCCTTTGGTACTTTCCCTCTGGTCTCCACGTCTGCCCTCAACACTGTGAGCTCCTCCTCCACCGTGTCGAAGCCCTACAGGCCCTGGGGCACAGAGATAGGGGCATTCTGAAGCTGACATCAGCACTGGAGGCAACACCTGAGCTGTGTCCACCACAAGAGACTTTAGTAGGACAACCTGCCTCATCTGTTGTCCTCACAGTAGAACCCACGGGAACGGAGAAATTCAATGTTTGTTTCATTACATATAAAGAATCACATCTAAACGACTTCATTTCTGATCGTCGTGTCCCTTGATGGTAAAACAAATTCCTAATGATGTTTTGTTGTTAGTTTGATAGGGTTTAGCTACACACTGTATCCAAATTAAGGACTGATGTGATGATGTGTTAAATTTGCAAAATTGTCAATGCAAAATGGTAAAGCCCACATTTTTGTACATCAGAAAGTTTAACTTCTACATCTGCTGAGCACAGACGTCTGTATCTGAGAGTTTGTAGATTGACTCTGGAGGTGTGAAGACAATGACTGTACCTGCCACTCTTGACCCACTAACTACCTGAGAATGGAACATTTTTCCTCCTTGTATCTATTTTTTAATGTTTTGGACCAATAAATGGAGTTTAAACATATCTCTCCAGAAACTTTCTGCATCTTTCCTGACAGGCTTCTCAAAGTTCCACCAGGAGTCTCCCTGACCTACAAAAGATTAATAGCCTTTCCACAATCAGGCAGGTGCATTTTGATCTCTTCACAGTGAGTCATAGGTTAACACAGTCTTACTTATTAACTGAAAGGTAATTCCTTTACTGTGTTCCAGATAAGGAACTGAATCCGAGAGTATTGTTGCCCTTATGAATACCCAGGAAATAATTAAGAGCCAGAGGAAATCCTTTACAATGTTGCCCTGACCTCACCAGGCTGGGCCACTCTGAAACACAGACAATAGTGTGAACAGGATGGGAACACAAGAGGAGGGAAAATAAACCACAAACATCTGAACTAGTAAATCACAGCGCAGCTCTCAGACATTAGTCTTATTTCAGTTCAAACTATCGTAGAGTGAAAATTCAATGTCTGTGACACAACTTGGTTTTGTAAAAACTAAAATTATATTTATATATATATATTTTTATATATATATATATATATATATATATATATATATATATAAACACTGTGTATATGTACATATTTGTAAAAGAACACATATTAAACTTACACATATATTTTATATGACTTGGGTCTATGACTATTCTAATGACCAGACTAAGCTAATCTACCAACATTGGAAACGTTTTTTTGTTTTTTTTTTACTCATATAAACTGAATATGTTGTAATTAATATATACATTATATGTTGGGTTGCTGTTTAAATGCATAGCTGAATGGCACAATACGATTAATTTCTTTAAGTATTAGTCACTACTACATACATAAATCAGGGATCATTAAAGCGGTGCCTGAGGGCAACTGGTAGAACCCATGAACTGTCTAAACTGCCCGTGGGGTATGTTCTAAAAAATAAAAATAGTCAAAAAGAGGGTCTAAAATTGGTTTTGAATTGCTCGTGATCTATCAGCACTCCCTTTTAGATAATTTGGTATTACTGGGCACCTCTGGTCTAGTCAATTAAAGATTGGTACGAACTCACTCTACTTTAGTAGTCAACTTGTTTGTTTGTCTGTTTTTTCGTGAACTGTTTAAAAAAGTCCGGCACAGTTGGCATACATATATGCTCTTATCAAAGCTGCCGATGGAAAGCATGAGAAAACTAACAGTATAAAGTCAAGTAGTGTGGTCTTATTTCCATAACTGTTTAGCAAAACGGTGAACAATATGGTTGGCAAACTAACATTAAGGCTTTATCGCCACCTACCGGACTACAGTGTGTACATAGGTGTAACCGCTGTGCCACAAATGAAACAAACGAAAAAGCCCGTAATTTATTTATTATACATTTATTTGTAATACACATTCATTTTCCTGTGATTATCAATCTCAACTAAAGTGTTTAAGTCACAGTCCGCGTTATTTTAAAAACGTATTACTTACAATCATCAGTCTCCTGCGCCAGCCCTCCCTTTAGCTTAGCTTCTTAGTTGCTTCTTCTTGGTTCTTCTTGATTCCAACATCACCCGACATCCTTTTCGGTGCTGCCACCTAGGGAGTCTCTTTTCCACTCGTAAACATATACATCCAGAGAGACGCTGACGATTAAAAAGAAGATGGGACTATAGTTATAGTAGAGGACTATATTACCAAGCAATTCTGTGTCCCTATCAAAACAAGTCCATGTTTTGGGCAGGGGTATTTGACGTAACGGATAAGCGGATGAAAATGGATGGATGGATGTTTCCTGCGTTATGTAGCGCTGAGTCTGTCAAATTATGTTGATATTAAAGGATCGATAATATGAATATCGTCCTCTTATAACTGATACAGCGTGTGTATTTTAACCGTTAATACATTTATTTTATGCCAGATTGTTAACTATACAATTTATTACATTACATTACATCAGCATTTGTTATGAGATTATGAGATTTTCTTATTTATCAACAGCTCCCGTTCAGCGCAGGGAGCTCAAAGGAATGCGTGGCTGCCATCTGCTGGAAGAATATTGCATAACATATCCAATCTACCTTACGTTGAAAACCTGATATTGAGCTTTTAATAAAACGAATGGACTTTGTGTCTTTAATAATGTTTAAATAATTATGATTGGTTTTTATCATTATTTTTCAAAACAATATTTGGCAAAAGAAAATTACAGATGGGATGAAAAGTGAGTTCAAGAATGTCGTAGATAACTGATTCCTTTATTTGGCAGTTTACAGTTCCCCTCCTCTTTTTAGCACAGAAAAGTATCAGATGGTGCATGCCATGTTCACACAACCCCAAACCTTTATTCAGCAAAGCTTTCACAGAGAAATATACGAAGGAGAAACACAAGCAGCAGAGGATGCAGGCAGATAACAGTAGTAGTGTATTTTTCTTTTAAAAAGAGACTAGTTAAGTGTGCTGAATGTGAAGCACCCTGCATCCATTCAATCTAACCGCTTAAAGAGAGCAGATGCTAATGATGCCAAATGGTAAATTCGCATTCACATACACCCACACAGACAACCAGACACTATGTTCTTACTATCAATATCAAGGTTGGAGCACATTCCACGTCCAAGCCACTAGGCATACATAGTACCAGAATGGTGCCGTAACATTCAAGAGCTTTATCTCAGGAGAGAGTGTGTACTTAAGCAGAGCCTGTGATTTGGCTGAAGGTGGATTTATTAAGAAACAGCGTTGTTAGGATGAGAGGGAATTTGGAGGCATTTAAAGAGCTGCTCCCACTGGGCAAAGACATTCTCAATAACCCCTCGCATCCAAGCTCATTCCAGAGTAAATGGATACGGTACCAATCTGTGAGTTTGGCATATTGGTAAGTTCCAAGCGTGCGTGCTGAGAATGAGAAGTGCGTGAGGAGGATACAGCTGGGACTACAGTGATATCTTGAAGATGTGGTGTGTTAGTGTGAGGTACGCCAACTGTCGTTGGTCACAAAAACACAAAGACGCCATCATGGCTATCATCATCATCATTATCCTCACGGTGACATTTTCCGGACACAACTGCAAATGTCAACAACACCAAGGGGTTTGACGAGAAAATTAATTCTAGAATTTCAAATCCTAAGAACTGAATCAAGAATGACGAACAAAGGAGCTTCACTACAATCAAAGACAGATCAAAAGACAGATCAATAGATAGATCAATAGATCAATAGATAAATAGATCAATAGATAGATCGATGATAGATAGATAGAAAGATAGATAGATAGAAAGATAGATAGAGAGATAGATAGATAGATAGAAAGATAGATAGATAGAAAGATAGATAGATAGATAGAAAGATAGATAGATAGAAAGATAGATAGAGAGATAGATAGATAGATAGAAAGATAGATAGATAGAAAGATAGATAGATAGAAAGATAGATAGATAGATAGAAAGATAGATAGATAGAAAGATAGATAGATAGAAAGATAGATAGAGAGATAGATAGATAGATAGAAAGATAGATAGATAGAAAGATAGATAGATAGAAAGATAGATAGAGAGATAGATAGATAGATAGAAAGATAGATAGAGAGATAGATAGATAGATAGAAAGATAGATAGATAGAAAGATAGATAGATAGATAGAAAGATAGATAGAGAGATAGATAGATAGATAGAAAGATAGATAGATAGAAAGATAGATAGATAGAAAGATAGATAGAGAGATAGATAGATAGATAGAAAGATAGATAGAGAGATAGATAGATAGATAGATTCAAATTATATCTACAGAACAAAAGCCACATTCTTGTATTTTATCTAAAATCAATAAATCCATCACATTCTCTGATAATACTGACAGCAGTGAGCACTGGTGGTGTGTTGTGATGCAGCAGTGAGGTCCTCGAACCTCACGCTCTCCAGGGTTGGGTGTCTGTCGTGTGGCGGGTGAAGGCAGGAGCAAGGAAGAAGAGGGGCAGGACATGATGGAGTGACACAGATGGACCATGGGAGTCGGGACCTGTCTGCAGCCTATGCTGTCAGCTCTTCCCTCAGTTCTTTGTTCCTGCGCACCAGAGCTGCGTGTCTCTCCTGAGAACCACAACAAGGCCAGATTACTTAGTCATCAGGACCGCGCCCAGTCTACTAATGACACGTTGCACTATTGTCCTTAAATTTGCAAAAGCATGTGATTTCAAATCTTTACCTTCTCCTGTAGACGCTCGATCATGGCTGCCATCAGGGCTTCACGATTCTCCTTGATCTGGCCCATCTTCATCTGGAGCTTCTCCTCGGCCATCTTGCTGAAGTTGCTGTTTTCCTCCATGGCCTTTAGCAGCACATCCCTCTCGTGCTCTCGCTTCTCTGCCAAAGCCCTCAGCACCTGGGCTTCTTGGTACTAAAAATGCACAGACAGGTTTTAATGTTCAAGTACTTTTCTTATTCCCAAAAAAAAAAATCCAAACAGATGACTCACCCTCCTTCGCTCATCAGCTGCCTCCAGTTTTTTCTTAATCTCCTCCAAAGAGATGTCTCTCTTGGGAGGTGTGGGGAGGTTGTGGGCTACATCTGACACTGGTGACTGAGGCTTGAGAATGACCTCAAAGGCCTGGCCCGAGGCGCGCTTGTTTATGGGTTTCACCTCCAAGTCTGTAAAATAGATGATTGACCAGATGAGCAGAATCGATGATAGATCACAGAGAAGTCAGTCCAGTTACATGTTGTTATTGGCTCTGTGTTCATTATGGGACATTTTGCCTTTAGCTGTGATCCATACCTTCAAACTCATTCATGAGCTTGTTGCGCGTCTCCGGGTAAAAGCAAGAACAGATGAGGGAGAGGACGGACAACTCCTTCATCTTCTCTTTGTAGGCTGGGGAAACATTAAGGTGTGTTACTTTACCATGTGATAACTGGTACTGTAGTATTTCTTTGTACATACATCAGAAATTCACACAGGAAGTGGATCAGGCGACTGCTGCGTTCACGACAGAAAGGACAGAAGTCCAAAAAAGTGCTGTGTTGCTAAATAATTAATGGCTGCTGTGTGGGGGAGGGGGTGAGGGATGGGTTAAAAACTGAGATCAAAGAAGAATTACTGCGACTTCAGTGAATGTTGTGCCGTCCATTTGCAATCTCCATAAAATGAGTAGGAGTGAGAGGAGATGTGCGTCCAGTTAGATGGTTTCCTGTTGACTCAGCTCTTTGCTGTGTGTTGTGGACACATAAATTACAAAGCACTTAGATTTGCCTATGGTAATGCAGGCTCGGACCACTGCGTGTCTCAGGTGTAGTTGATAACTGCAGCTTTCCTCCACCTTCTCAGTCCGGTTTCTTGGACGACTGTCCAGCCCTTTGCTGCAAAGGCCAGTGTATGAAGCGGCCCCCGTGCTGCAGGGCTGGCCTGCCTCCCACCCTGCCCTGAACCCTGTCTGCTCCACCACATGATGAAGCCACTCTCTCCAAATGACAATGATTATTTAATAGGCATGCAGCCACTGAGACAAATGTCAAAGCAAATAGTCTAAAAGCGTGGCCTACAATAACAATGGTGTGTTGCGTGTTTGAACGACAAACGCAGGGAAACGTCAGATTACAATCTGACGGTGTAAAACGTCGATCTTGGTTTTAGAATAAATAAATAAATAATATTGTGAAGACACGCTTTTGTTGTTGTAATCTTTACAAAATGAATGGCAGCCACAGCTGTGAAACAGACGCTACGACAAAAAATGACGAATTCATTACCAATAAATCGATATCAAATTCAGAGTAAAATTAATTATTGTGATCTAACATTATAGTGTTATCTTGGAGGTTTTATTTCATCGGAATCTGCGGACGATTGAAGCCCCCTCAGCCCGGCTGTCGGCTGAATGCTCGGCAGCCCAACATCTTGGGTGGGGTCCGTCTGCATTATGCTGCATGTTGGGGCCGCTGTGTAGCACTGACAGCAGGTGCGGCGTTGTAAATAAAACACCAGCCTGTATCGTTATTCATTATTTGGCGCTGGTTATATGAATTCAATTGAATAAACGTGTGTTAATGAAGTATCATTTAAATAAAGGAGACTTTTCAGGAGCACTAACTTCGATAGCCCCCACATCCACGTATATAACCCGACTCCACTGAGCTCAAACAATAGGCCCATGATCGATGGGGGAAAAGTACAGGAAAAAAAATACTCCAATACTCAATATTACAAAAAACAATTCTCCCCGGAGCCTACGCAGGGGCACGACCCCCAGCTGATGAACAGTATGGGGCAAATACTGGGTACAAATGCACCCCTCCCTACCTCCATCATTTCATCCATCCATCCATCTACCTTTTCTATACATCCACTCATCTTTCCCGCATCCATCCATCCATACATCACATTTCCACAGACGGTGCGTGGACTGTGCATCTTACCGGTTGCTGTTTTGGCCATGGCTGATGTATTTGTCCGCAGGGTCTGCTGGAGCTCTGTTCAGGTGAACCGTGAAGCTGCTTAAGGCACTGAGTCAGCGAGCAGACCGGCGTAGGATCGGGTGGCAGCAGACGATGGGGTGTGGACGCGCACGGGAGCGCGCAGCCAGACCCTCCCCTGTCTTCTGACGCAGACGGCGACAGACAGTGTCACTGATCAATACGGGTGTGCGAGTATGTATTTAATTTATTAAATAAATTAATGTAATGTATTATTTGTCTACTTTAAACATAAGACACAAATATATGGTATATAATTCTTTTTATTATATCAATATGTCTTACCTCCCCGTCTATGTCCAGGGGATGAGGGGAGGAGAACCAGATTGAAGATAAGAGAGCACAGACAACGTCTTATTTGATATGTAAAACAGTGCTTTTAATACGAAAGTATAATGAAATAATCAGCTGAGCAAACGCAATGAGCCGGTCTCAATCAAAACACAAAATAAATGATCGGGATAAACAAGGAGCAATCAAAAGGAATACTGACACGCTGAGATAACAAGCTGCAACTACTACTACATTATTATTATGGCACACAAAGAGGCAGGGAGGCCCTGAAGGCACGCCGGTGTTCTCCTTATATCCCTGACTAGAACACATCAGGCAGATGCTGCTCACCTGAAACTGAAGAGGAAGAGAGCGAAACACCGAAGGCAAACACAGATACACACAGCCACTAGTGCCGTAACAATAAACATTTGAACACACACAGCAGCGGTGTCAAACTCACTGTCACTGAGGGGGCACGTCAAAAAAACAGTTCCCCTTGAAGGGCCGGCTGTAAATGGAAGTCTGTGTAGATTTAACTGCGCCATAACATATTAATAAATGTTCCTGCAAGTGATCATCTTCATCTATTCAGGTTACAAAGATTGTACGCTGCTGCGTGTGATCAAATCATTTTTTTTAGGTTAAAAAAACTCTGTAGCATGGACCTGAGTGAGTTAGTGGCCACATTTGGTCCACAGGCCTTGAGTTTGACACATGTGGCATATAGTGCAATACATGGCAGTTTTTCATTTCAATGTAATCATTGACAGCGGGAAGAAAACAGGTGCGAGGAATCAGTCGGATACTTTGGTCAATGCAGTGAAATATAAGAATAAAATGATTAGCAAAAATAATGTGCACTTCCAAGCAAGCAATTCAGTACCATTAAGTACTGAATGAAATTACCCTTGCACTGCTTTGGCCTTCAGCTGCTTTTTGATGTAGTGTCCAACCAGTATCTGAGGAGATTGTTGGAACTTCTGAAGAACCTCGTGAGAAGATGTCACCTGATCACCCTTCAGTCGATCCAGCAGGGTCACACAAACCACAGCAGCTTTTCAAAAACAAGAAAATAACATTTGCAGCTGAGAAAGGTGCAAGAATGAAAAGTTTAAAGAGTTCATACATTCATGATTAATTCTCACCACGCAAGCCACTCAGATTGCACATGGCAGCTACGGCTGTTGCCTCCATTTCAATATTGCAGACTCCTGCTTCTTTGGCTTTGTGGAGATACTCCTGTTTGTCCTTTTCCGTGTAGGAGCAGAACGCTCCATCCAAACGAGCTTGACCTGGGTAATTGAGTTGATGCAGGGAATAAAAAGTTACATCCTTGATCTGCATTGATCTATAAGAGTGTAAAGAGCAGAGCTTGTACCTTCATAGAAATCCATTGTGCAGATGGTGTTGCCAGTCACAGTTTGAAACTGGTTCAGCTCTTTGCTGCACTGCAACAGCTCCTCGGCCAGACCTTGGTCCAGCTCAGTGCTGCGCTCCACAGTCTTTCCCAGAATGATCTGTTCCATCTTAGGCTGGAATTTTCCATCCAAAGCCTGTTTAGTAATTACCACTGTACCTGGTTCAACTCCTAAAAAAAAACACAATGTATGTGCCTTCATTCACTTTTTGTGACATATATATATTTATATTTAGATAGAGCATGTGTGTGTATTTATATATGTATATGAGACCATATAAACACGATAATTAAACAGTTATAAAAGAAAAAGAGCGCCCTCTGTTGGACAAAGTAGGAATATCAGACTCCTTTCTGTTCGTACTTCGCACGGGGAGCACTAAACTAGCGTGTCTCATATGCGCACAAACTGCGCAAATTAACCGTATTTTTCGGTCCATAAGGCGCACCGCATTATAAGGCGCAATATCAATGAACGGGAATATTTTCATATATAATGCGCACAAGGTTATGCGGCGCATTAAGCGAAACAAAACAGTCTGCGAAACAACGTCAATACCCGAGTCAGTCTCGTTGGTGATAATTAGTTGTTCTGTGATGATTCCGGCCTTCGTGAAAGCTCGGACGACATTTCAGACTGATACCTTAGCCCAGGCATCCACGGTCCATTGGCAGACAGTGGCGTAACTGTTCCGGCGTTGCCTCACTGTCTTGGTGAATGTGTTCGCCTTCAGTCATCCAATGCTCACACGCATCTCGCAATTTAACTTTGAACGCCCTGTTAGCACCGATATTTAGCGGTTGGAATTCTGTGGTCAATCCACCCGTAATGATGGCAAGCCCCGAATTAGTTTGCTTCACTTGGGTTTTGACAATATCAGCGCCCATGGAGTCGCAGTTCAATAGGGACGGAGATTTATGAAAGGTAGTGACCAAAATTGGACACTGGAGGGCGCTGATGTTCGCCCCTCCAGCATCGCACCTGCACCGCACCATACATCGAGAATTCAAAATCACAACTCAGAGTCTCCGGGTTTGGGGAGGAACGACGCGACGTTGCGCACATTTGGGTTACACAACTATACTGTAACAATTGTTGTTGAGCATTTTCTAATTGCGATAACAGATTTAAACGTCATTGTTGGCTCCCAGTGCGCTTCAGTTGTGTGCCATCGTCTGTCATACGCTGTGTGGTTTGGCTTAACAAAATCGGTTGGAGCTCAGTAAGCACAACCAAGAGTAATACATAAGGCACACCGGGTTATAAAGCGCACTGTTTTATTTTTTTAAGTCATGCACTTTATTTTAATGTGAACATTATGTACATTTTATTTATTTTCTAGTTCAGTTCTGCGTTACATGACAATAAGGTATTGATATAGATGCAGATGTTGATAAATATATATCACACTAAGTTAGACATTATGATATTCCGGACCTTTGCTTCAAGTCATTTTCTCTAACTGGACCTCTTTTAATTTTAGTTGAATAGCCCTGCCGTATTATATTAAAATTGTTACAAAAGGCACATAAAAAAGACATACCAAGTCCACCTGATGTCCCGATGCGTATTATTGTAACATCTGTGCAGCCTGCATGATGAAGGAGTTTTATTACTTCATGCAACATAATGGCAATAGATGGAACACCCATCCCATGCTGGAAAACAAAACAACAAAAGTCATTCTCAGGTTATGAAATTAAAACTTGCATTTTGTTACATGCTTGATCATGCAGTAAAATTGACTTTAGTTTGACAAATGAAACAAATATGATTCCACGACTTTAAGGCTTACATACACTGATAGAAACCACTGGGCCAACTTTGTACATGGCAAAGCGGTCCGTTCCTTCACAGATGTTTGGGTACTCTGATTTGGGGTCTTCCATCCCGAGTACAACAGCAATGTACTCAATGAATTCTTTCATTCTAGTGGGACTGCCTCCAGTACACACAAACTAGGAGGGGAGCAACACCATGAATAAATTCACAAATAACGATTATATTGGAAATCTTTTTTTTTTTTTTTAAAGAATAACGCAATAATTACTTTGACATCCCCAAACATGGCTGGGAGGTCATGAGTTCCTGTCCCAAGATTAAGGTGGTACAGGATGTCTTCTTTCATGGCAGCCACGTGTGGGTTTTTGACATACTCTGGACTGAACAGATAAGAGTTTGCATATGAAACCTCATGCGATATGTACTATATTACTGACAGTAGTACTAGATATCACCATAACCAGATACTGCTTACGTCAGCATACTGTATGAGAGTATGCACAAGCATCAGTGACACTCATTAGAGAACTTTAAGAAGAGGTGAACTTAAGAAAAATGTCAAATGGTGACCTTTTGACTGATTTTTTAATACAAACAAATTCATTTTTTAATTGAGATCCTAAGTTATAACAACCACAATATAAGACACTGTAGCATTTGTCTCTAAAACAATTTCAAATAAACAAACCAAAAGCACATAGGGAACGACGTTGGTTATTTAAATTCTCCGCTTCAGGTATACGCATGTGTGAACCACTAGATGGCAGTAATGTATATAACTTAAGAAATAACTTTCAGCAGAACTCATTGCCTTAAATTGTAAATATACAAACACGACATTTATCGTAGCATAAAACACACGTTTAAAATATTTAAATAATATAATTTATATAGTAAGGTGTTATTCAAGTTTTGTCGGAAGTTTGCTCCGTACATGACAACATTGTCTTCATTTGTAATGTTGTACATGGTTTCTTAAAATCTTATTTTCTTTTTAAAAGATCATCTTTGTACCTCCACTCTTGCTAACAGTGAAGTAAAGCGTTCTTCACAAACCCAGGGACCAGACAGGGACCGGGACAATTAAACACATTAACGATTTTCTTTTTCTTTTTTTTTTTGTCCTTATTTCTGTCTGCGTTTTATTTCATAAACCCTTTTTGGATTATATAGTTTATTTTAAAAGTCCAATCTTGGTGGATTTTATTCCCGTATGGAATGACCATAGACCAAGTGTTGAAGACGTTTTCAGCTAACGTTTTGAAAAATCTTAAGACCAAGAAGAATTCGGTTGGTTTGAATGTTGTGTGTGTGTTGGTGGGGGGTGAACGTCTTACCTTCCGCGCGGGTCATTTCGCTTTTGTTCACTTTTCTCCATGTCCCTGAAACTACACAACAAAAAAACACCAACACTCAATGAAACGAATATTAAAATGCCATATAAAGCAGCAGCAATTTAGGCGAAGCATTGACTTGTGTGTTCAAATGTTTCTTTTATTTCAAACGCATCTTTTTCAAACTGGTGCCCGCGCCCATATTATTCGGAAATCAGCGAAAAAAACTTTTAATCTCTCACTGTTGGAACAAATGCAGAAGCAAAAAGAAGAGATATGAGACACGACATAATAAAACAGACATTTACCTTTCAACTTCTGCCTTTGAAATGCCTTCTATTTGGCGTCCTGCAATTTGTAAAGCAAAACTTCAATCCCTCCTATTATGGCGTAGTTGACGCCACGTTGCAAACGTGATGGCAAAACCGAAACTAAAATAACTATATAAAAAAAAAACCATAAAAACACCAGTCGAGCAGCCATTGGCGAAATAAAACCCCGTTATTTCGACATTCACTGAGCTCGACACAGGAAATGATTTACAACTATTTATAAATGATTTACCCTTTGACTGTTTGATGATGAAGAAATTAATTTTTAATGCAACATTGCTGACATCAGCTAAGGGTGTTGGTAACATTTAAAGCTAAACCTTTCCTTACACACAACTTGTTAGAAAGTGCGACCAGTAGCACTTTAGCACGCTCTGAAATAAAATACATAACCTTGTATTACATTGGCAGTATTTGTACTGCTTATTTGTATTTGTTTATCTGTGGCACCGGGGAAACAGTGAACCTGACTGACTGTAGATAAACTGTAGAGAAATCCTAAAGCCAATCTTGCAATAACGTCGTAAATGATTATATTAGGGATATAGAGGCCTGAGACATTACAGTGAGTCCAGCCAGCACGTAGCCCACGAACCTGAAAAAAAAAACATTTATAGACAGTTATGTAATCAAGTATTGCGAAATAACATCTTACTTTGAAAAGGAGTTTTAAGTTTCACACGAACAACCTGATGTTAAAACAAACTCAAAACGCTCATCCAGCCTTTTTGGAAGCTAAAAATCCATCAACACTTAAAATTATTAGCGTTATAGTTGTGCATACTATTCTTGGCAATTGTTGTGTATTTCTGTATTATTAACTTCACCATTAGGAATATCTAATAGAACACAACTTTCCCTAGTGCTGCATAAATATTTAGAGACGTGTGTCATTACCATCTGGATTGTAACCGACTGCAGACCCAGAGGATGTGGTGTCGCAGAATTATGGACTTAAAAAAGATGGGACAAAACGTTTGAGTAAACGGTGTAAACAAAAAGACTTTGATAAATACGTAAAGTAAATAATTGACGTGAAGCTCAAGTTTATTCAGTTGTATTCCTTTTTTTAAATTTATTTTTCACTCTTCATCACTTGACACAAAAGAGGCTTTTTTCAGTGCAACTTCAGTGTGGTGCAGTTTTTTTTGGTAATTGCCTAACACACCCACCCAGGGCTGGGGTTTGAACTGGCAGCCCAGTCACACTGATACTTGATGGAACTATTGCTGGGTGTTAGAATCTCAGTGAACTTTTGTTTGTTCCTCCCATAAAGACAGAAAAGCTGAAGTGACATGTCACACAACTTTCTACAGCCAAACAGGGCGTGTCCTGCTGGTAACACCAAATGTTTTCCACCCTTTTGATTTAGAAAAAATAAAAAATTCAAATGTAGCAATTTTTATATTTGCTCAACATGTGGAGTTACCACACTCTTCTTTTTTCTGTGTCCTCTAGTTCCCAATTTATCACATTTGTTCCCGTTTCTCTGGAATTCTTAGCAGTTCACAATGTGTTCTTCTGAAGGCAGAAACTGTCAATAAATCAAAAAATCATGGGCGAGGGCTGATTATTTAAAAATAAATCAGATTAGTCAGATTAGCTCTTCATCGAGCTGTTTAAACAGTGTATAAACAACGGTCACTGGCACATGTATTGGGGACTTCAGCCCGCTTGTCTTCGGGGTAACGTGAGCAGGGGCGATGCTGGGGATTTTTGGCCCCAAGATACAGATGGGGTTTGGAAAACAGTTGTCTTTCATCTCATCATATGTTTTGGTCCAAATTTGTATTAGGCCACTGTAAATGACTGATGACTCTCTTGATTTAAAAAATAAATCAGGTCCAACTGAAAGCATAATTGCATGGCCCTGCTGTGATTAAACCAACTGCAAAACAGTGACACCTGTTGGAGGAGTATGTGAGACGTTTGTAAGAGAGAGGGGAATCTGTGCACACTATAACCATCACATGCTAAAAGTGGCTAAATGTTCACACAAAAAGCTAACTAATTCTGTTACAAGGTTGTAACACACTCACCTAGAACTCTGGGCATTTACCGAAACATTTTGATACACATTTTAATCAAAATTATTTGTACAGGACAAAGAGAATGCTGAGTCAAACTGTAACATGTTTATTAAAACATGCAAACGTGAATTGGGGTCAATAAGTGGACATTTGCAGTTTGACCACGGTTTACATTCTTCATCAGCCATTTATGTCTTCTTTGATTACATACATTCTTCATCACAAACTTGGCAGAAGAAGGAACCACAAATGAAATACTCCAGAAAATAAAGTGTTAATCAGTATAAGCCTCACTTCAAACAGTCTTAGTGTTGGTATTACAAACATGCAAAAAAAAGTCACACATTGAAGAAAAAGAAAGCACCATTGAAAAACATAGAACGTCTTATATTAGCATTTAGCATTCATGCAAATTGTTTAAGGTGAGTCAAACTGCTGCCCTAAAACAGCAAACCAGAGAAGATGGGTTAGTTTGGATTCTGTTTTGTTTTTTTTAAGAAAAATTAAAAGGATGAATATCACAGTCAAAGTCATTACAGCACAAACGGTAAATCATAAAAGAAATACTGTGTGCAATGAAGTGAGTTTTATATCAGTGACAAGTAGGAATGAGATTGTAATATCTGGAAGGATCGTTATCGGTTTTTCCTCTATAATAAAAACTTGCTAAGGCAATGCCTGGGTTTAGCCAAATGACGTGTGCCCTAAAAATAGTTTTGAGATAAACGGCGGTATATTAAAGTGAAAGTCACTAGACAGCAGCATTGCAGCTCATTTTATTAATCTGGTTTAATAATCAGGGGATTGTATGCAGAATATAAGCAACACCATAAAGTTGTTTGTAGAGATAAATAATTAAATCTTAGCAAGCCTATATCAGTATCGGTTAATATCAGAATCGGAAACTAAGTGTTTGGAAAATATCAGCATATTGGGAAGTCAGCAAAAAGTTAATATCATACAACCTTAGTGACAAGGATTCATTTACAATTTAGTTTATTTTTCTTAGATTTGTCATATTTGAGTATGTTAATTTGCCTTAATTAATAATGATAAATTATGATAACCCACAGCTGTGATTAATCTTATTAAATATTTTAATCGATGGAAAGGAAATTCTCTAAATTTTGGAAACTATATGAATTTATTATTGAATGAGTTGGGGGGGTTTGTAGGACACAGGAGTGTGGCAGCTTTGACAGGTCTGAAACCAAACTCACGTTCTCCATTCATCACCATTCCACTTTGTTTCTCGACACATTAGGTTCCCGTGCTCTCTCTGTGCAGATGAAACCAGAATCAGAGTTCTTTCATGTTGTTGCAACAATAGAACAATGTGTAACAAAATGTAGAAGCAGAAGACAATACGAAAAGAATATACAAGAAGATAAATGTACCATCAATACGTCAGCCATGAATATTTGCCATGTTAAAAGTGTTAATTAAAGAATCGTTACGGTGATTAGCCAGTGATGTACTCACAGTGAGCATCGATGATAAACATGATTGATTAGTGATATAAGAAAATAAACCAAAAAGTGCAGTTAAATGTCAGAATTCAGTGATGTGTCTGCACTGAATAACTCACTGCCTGGGGTAAGACAATAGGATGCTCTGGTAAGAATTCTGGTCTCTTCCTGGACTGAGGACAAGTCGCCAGGGAAACTAGAAAATCTCTAGAGTAGGATATTCGCCCTACAAGTAAAAGAGATAACATTTAGTATGCATATAGGTCACAATGTGGCTTCAAAAATAATAACAGAAAAAGATTACAGATAACTGTTTTATTTTAATTGAATATCCTGTTTGAAAACTCTTGAACATCAGTGTATCAGTGAAAAAACATCCATCTCACCTTTTTTCTCTTTGTGGAGGTTGAAAATCTTGATCAACTGCTCAAATCCAATAGTTGTCTGTCACACACATTTAGGTGTAGTTGGGGGTGGGGGGGGGGATGTCAATTCATTTGACTTGAGTAAAGGATTTGCTCCAACCCTTGGGGCTTCACTGGTTCTTCCTACCTGTGAGATCAGTTGATCCTCCACTGCTTGTGCACATGTTGCTGCATTTGTTTTGGGTTCTAAAGAAATTGCCAATAGAGCGCAAGAGCATGAAAACAAGTTTCCATCCAATCTACCAGTGGCTTCGTCTACTTCAGACAACGCACCTGTCTCAAAATGAGGAACGCGGCGCAGAGGGCGTGCGGGTTCCAGGTGTTTTTGGAGGACTCTTCTTCTTGAGACTTCCATTTTGGGATATTTTAATACCTGAAAAACTTTGCTAAGTACAGAAATCATAACATTATATAGTCATATTATTTATAAAGTCAGATAAAAACCTTCACCTCTTTTTGAGTGATCAAAAATTAAACTTACCTCAAAAATTATGTTTGCAGCAGAAAAAGTGAAAATGTCAAAGAAATCCTTCTCACAGAAAAATGGGCATGATCATTAATTGACTAAATATATTACATTTGAATAGATAAAGTTACATATTTAATTTATTAGGGTCAGTAGGCTTTATGTCTAGTTTATAAAATAAACAAACCAAAAAGCAAATATGAGTTACGTCTATAGAGAGCCAGAGTACTGACCTCTTTTTGGGAGGTACAGATACGAAATAGTCTTACAACAACAGACATGATTGTAAATTGAGGTACAGATACGAAATAGTCTTACAACGACAGACATGATTGTAAATTGTATTAACAGGTCATTGTATGCTGCGTATTTTATTTCACATTCTTTATCCGAACTCTTTGACTTGCCATCCTATTTAGAAACCGACAATGGACTTAGAAAACAGCTTTATTTCAGTTGTACACAAGTCTGCCTTAATGAGCATTAACAGCTAATGCGGGCGTTCATAACCCCAACCTAACCTTAACCCTCGTACCTCAGTTTGAAAACTTAAACAACTAATTCGACAAGTTCCACTTGAAACGTGCTCTGACATGACATTTTTTATTTTCCGAAAGTTTTAGACGTTTTATTTTCAGTCAAATCCACACGGGTCTTCAGTAGTAGCGTTGATTAACAGACCTGAATCAGCACATGCTCATTGATGGCAAATGCAACGCCACGCTGATGTAAGGTTGGAGTTAATTCGCCATCACTCTTTACAACTTGTTTAAAAAGTTGGACTTGACGACAGTTAGAAAGCTGCTTACTATAACCCCATCTTAAGAAACGCGTATTTTACGGATGGTTACCTGCAGATTAACAAACGTCCAGCAGTTTCTGCTCCTGCTCACCGGCCGCTGTCAAAATGCACAAAAGTGGGTCTAGCGCCTGACTTCCGGTGTTCCACTTTCAAAATAAGATAATTTAGTTTTAACATTCTTCGTGAAAACGTCAAATTCAGATCAATGATATAATAGCTCAAAGTATCAAAAAACAAAACAATAAATTATTGAAGGAAAGTATCACTTCATACATGGTATGTCAAAGGGATATAATACAAAAGAAATCTTGACACACCATCTATTTAAGGGAAGGTGGATTTTTTTTCAATAGATTAATTGCTTCTTTGCCTTATCTAAGGCCCAAGATCAAGTTCCTTTCACATATTTTAGTTATTTTGGGGAAAAGAAAAATGTAAGCAATTTCAGTTTAAATTCAGGATGTTTTTACTTATTCTTTCACTTTTTTATTAAGGGATAAGAGACATGGTCACAACAATATACTGCTAAAACTTTTCAAAACTATTGAGGACTCATTAGAAATGTCTTGATATTTTATTTTGATATTTTGCCTTGATAAATGTATTTTCTTAACATTTTGAACTTCTTTGACACACCTGCAAATAAAAAATTACATTGGTTTTCTAGTTCAAGTAACCTACAAACTACATTCAAATTATATTTACCTTCAAAGTATTGGTTATCTGTAAGTGACCTAAATAACAGACAAACAAACTGATCTGAGAACACTTAACATTTTATATTTTATTTACAGATTTCAACAGGCATGATTTTTTTCAACTTTGTTGAAAAAAACGTGTTAAGTTTATTTTCACAATGTTTTCCTCAAAACACTCGCACACGCATGCAAAGACACACACACTTCTGTTTCAAAACGATTTCCTTAAAATTGTTGAATGAAAAAAAAATAAAACAAAAACAAGATGAAAATTACAAGAAAACAATATGTAGTCTCACAATCACATCAAACTGCAAACTAAATGTACCATGGTGAATGCCTTGCCATTTCATAACAGAGAGAAGGTAAAGACTCGTCTTACTTGTTGTAAGTGTGTGTTGTTACACACCAATAACCAAAGTTTTTCCCGCTCGTGACCACAGAACAAATCCCTGTTGCTTTCAAATGAACACCAGCCTTATTTTTCTTGGACCAATTGGTCTTCCACTCAGTTCTGCTGCTGCTATGATAGCCTCTGAACGAGACTCAAACACTACAGTTGCGGTGCCTGTAGGTTTTCCGCCCTGGTCAAACTGCAGTGATACAGATCCAGGGATAACGCGATAGCCGTGGCAAAAGTCGTAAATTTCTTCACTTCTTATTTGGAAAGGCAAATTAACTAACCTTACACAAGTGGGACCATCACAAGGCTGTGCTGGGGGGCCAAAATCACCATGAACACTATTTCCCCTTTCCCATGGATCCTTGAGGCCCTCCGGATCCCAGCCTCTATTACCCAGATTCTGTACACTCTGCATTGATGCGCCGCCATCTCGATACATTCTAAAGTCGTGGTACTCAGATTCAGCAGAGTGATAAGAAGGCACACAGTGTCTCCCCTCATGGGACATCTTTATGTCAGGGTACTCTGGATCATCGGAGCGATGGGATGCCACGCTGGTTCTATTTGAGTACCGTTCTTCTCTCGATAATGGTTCTTGAAACATTGGTATGTCAACACCCAATTGCCTCATCTGGGATTGTGTAATGCCTTTCAGTATGACTTCTGACCCAAGAAACCGTTGGCCATTAAGAGACAGTGCCCTTGTCGCCTCTGCCTCAGATCTGAAAAGAACTAAAACCTTTCCCACTCCAGCACCATTATGATCAAGCAGTAAGTAGACTTTATCCTCTGTGATATTGAACCCATGAAAAAAGTCCATGATCTCAACTTTCCTCACATCAAATGGTAAGTTTCGCACAAAAAGACACAATTTTTCGGAGTCGTAACTATCAGGGGAGTGAGATGAGGACCTCTCCTGAGATAGTTGAGAGTTTCCAGGAGTTTGGGAATCAATGTAGTGGGACTGAAGAAGGGCCATCATTTTCTCTCTTGATATGGGGCGAATATGGACCTGTCGATTGAAAAAGAGTACTTTTTCCTCAGCTAAGGCATCACAGTAGTCACGCTGATTCTTGAAAAGAACAAAAGCAGATCTTGTTCTTTTTCTCCTCTCGTCCAACAAATGCAGAATCTGATCATCCTCGAGGTTTGTGTGTCTAAAATATTGTTTAATGTCTTCTTTTTCCACAGCAAAAGAGAGATTGTCAATCAAAACACAATACTCATCACCAGGGGCAATAAGACTCTGATTTGGGGGAGACCGTGACCTTGCATGACTTTGTGGAACATTCCAAGTACGAATAGGTGATCTGTCTCTTTCAAAGCCGCTAGATGCGTTGACATCCATTGGAAATCTGCCACAAAGGCGAAACCAATTGTCCATTGATGTCGGTGAAAGCTCAATATACCTTGACCCAATGTATTCCTTGTCTCTTTTTAGGCCTTCCATTGCATCCTCACTTGTTGCAAATTTGACAAGACCTCTCCCATTGTTAAATCCCTTCTCATTCTTTAATAAAACTACTTCATCAATTAGTAAACCACCAAAGAAATCATGTATTTCTTTTTCGGTTACAGAAAAGGGCAATCCTTTAAGAAACAAACACATGTCATCCTTACGACCGTTGGGAGCCCTCTGGTGTTTGGGGGGAAACATCTGACCTGCTTTCCCCTCTCCACGACCCAGGGATCTTTCACCTCGTCTTTCATTGTCTTCATACTGCCTCCTTGGTTCAGGCTCCACCGTTTTCGTACTTCTTTCAAGAATGACCTGCATCTCAGCTTTACTACTGAGTAGCAGTTTAATAGCTGAGCCGTTGATGAGTTTTCCAGACCGTGTCATTGCTCGCCTTGCATCTTCATCACTAGCAAAAATGATAAAGGCTTCATCCAGCTCCCCACCAATTATATGTACCCCTCCATCTGGAATTTTCAGGCCCATGAAGAACTTGCGAATATCCTCAGTACCCGCTGTGACACTCAGTCCCTGTAAACGGATGACGACTGCCATGCTGACAATAAAACAGCACCTGCAGACAGAAGGGTATAGAATAGTATTATTGCCAACCATTCAGCTTTTTTCCCCCAGTCTCACCTTCCTGACATTCCAGGCGAACACCACTGAAGTAGCACAAAAATGTGAGAAAAACAACATAGGACACCAAGTGCAGTCTTTTTCAGCACTATCCAAAAAAGCCATCTGAAAACCAACTATAAAACTTAGACCATCGCCATCAAGCAACTCTGTATTACCATGGCTCAAAATCAGTGAAAAAGTCACAACAATAAACATCAATTCTGCCAATTCTGTCAACTTGGAGGAGATTTTTTTAACTACAACAGTAAGTGCTTATTACATTATTTCAGTTATAAATTGAGTTTGACAAAACTCACTGTCATCGAGGTTGTGTTCAAAACAGAAAGCTTACCAGCTTCTAGCAGCAGTTTTAACCTTAGTAAAACAACCATTGAGCTTTTTCCCCAAATCAATTACAGAAAATAATAAGCAAATGCAAATCGAAAACACTAATTTCCAAAACAAAACTGTATGACTTTGTTGATGTTGACCTTTTGCCACTTAATCACTGTGAACACTTAACCCATTACTTTTTAGCAATCTAATGTCAGTCTAAGGAAACCACCTTTACATATTAAAAAAGGCAAAGGGAAGTTTAGATGTCATCAAAAAGATGTAAATAAGTCACCAGAGGAAACAGCAATTAAAGAAGCCACAATTATTATACTCTCCACACCAGCAACAAACCCTTACACAAAGAGCTGTGAGTCAAAACGACAGAATCAGATTTTCCACTAATACCTTACAAGATTTAACTAGGAAATAAAAAAAAGGTGAATTCAGACCAAGTATGAATTGATAAAGCATTTACGCGATCCTTCCATGCAAGTTCCAGTCCAGGGGTTTCTGGTTCGAATCCCATTGCCTGTGTGAAGCAACCACAAAAACTCCTCTGCTGCCCCACACAGCAGAGTACAGCACACTGCTCCCGTTTTGTTTTTGAAATTTCGGCTTTGGTTGTATTTGCATGATTTAACCGCCCAACGTCTTTCCAAAAATGTCCATGTACGATGTATAAGTCAAACGAGAGTGAACGAGGATATTTCCCACCTCCATACCCATAAGCAGGTCCTAAATTTTGATACACATTTAAACCGTGGCTTCGCAGGGTAGCGTTATAGTTTCGGGGATGACTTCCTTGGATTTTTGATACCACGTTGAGCCTTCCATCACCGTCCAAAACAATTCCCAGTGTTGGTAGAAAATTACCAAAGGGTATGTGTACTGAAAGTTAGTGGCAGAAAAGCAAATTAATCTTGCGCAATGACCACAAAATATACAATTCAGAGAGGCTCACAAATTCACTTCATTGTCAACGTAGGCCCGTGTGTCCAGCGCTAGCTCATTATGCTAAACAACAAACCGAAGCAAAACCTTGTGTTCCTTACAAATAAAACTACACAACGAAGACGGACCCCATGATCAAACTTACACAAAGGACAACCACGGTCTCCCTTGCAACTATGAAAACTCTCGGGGAAACAGGTAATCTAAAATCAACGTCGAATCGTCTGGAAGCCTTCTCTCTCGCATCCAACAGCCACCGATGCTAATGCTAGCGCACGCCGTTGTTCTTCTTCGACAAAACATACTTTGGGATACTACCGCCACCACCTGGTGTATAGTGTGCAGTGCATTGAATATAGTATTTGGCGTATTGTTTACTAATGTCTCACTAAAGTTAGAGGACGTTTCCGGGTGTTTCGACCAGTATGCTTCCTGCACTTTTATGTGGTGTGTTTTTTTTCTGTTTACGACAGGAAAAACCTTTGACAATATATGGGGAATCTTCTTGTATGTTTTGTTTGTCTTTCAACTCAAACAACACATTGGATTTATCAGATAATTGTCAGCTAAGAGAGGTTTTATGCAATGGTGACTATAATTTAATTATATGATTGTACGTAAATGACATAATCTACAACACTACAGATTATTTTTATACATCACAGGTGTTGGATAAACAAGACATCGCATTGTTGTATTGTCCCTGATACCAACTTGAAAGATACAATTGTATTTGTTTACTTAGAATTTTGCCTGTGTGCGTTATAACATCGGAGACATTTTAATCAAGGATTCAGACTGCCAAATCGTTGTTATTACAATAACAATTTCAAATTTGTTTGACCATAGACCAGCTATGACATGTTATAAACAGGTGTTGCCAAATGGTTACGTGAGACAGTTGGGTTTTTGTTTTTTTTTTGCCACCATCCATTAATTTCGTTATTTCACCAGTCTAAATGTCAGTGTTTAATCCAACAGCACAGGGTTCGCGCCAGCTGTAACTGCTCTGGGCACCCGCATCATGTGATGTCAAACACAGCAAGTACACACTACATGAACACCGTGAGAACTAACGTGTTAGTGGATAATTCCACGTCCAGATATAGGAGTCAAACGTGTTATTTTTAATCGGATACATGACTTGGCCATATTGGCTATATTGTGTGGCTGTTTGATACTCAAATAATTCCTAATAGCCTTGGCTAACCATGAGCTCATGCTAGTTCTGTAATATCAACACCGACCCAGGCTGAAGCTGCGGGACAGCAGTAGCAAAGCCACAGAGCCAACGTTCGTTTCCGATAGCTCCGTATGGATTTGACGCCGACATACATGATCGCTTGGTTTGTTTTACCGAGGGCCCACCTATAGAGCGTTCGAAGATGGGGGAGCCGCATGACTTCAAACACTTTGCAGAGTAAGTATCTTGTTAAATACAAATGTATTCCTTAGTAGACAGCTTCTCAGTGCGACGCGCAAGACAAAACATCACCGTTAGCATGATAGTCAAGCCGGGTGATGTGACCCGGGTATGTGTTGATGATATCTTGAAACGGAAACGCACATGAGGCTTTTTATTGTTTTGTCCAAAATCAGAAAAGCTGACTGAGCTTCCTGTCGACAAAGTGAAAACAATTGCAATGAAACATGTGGCGCAGCTCAACAATCGATAAGCAAAGCTTGTGTTAACAGCAGTACATGTAGCCCAATGGATTCTAGTAACGACAGCTAGCTGACTCAACTAGCATTAGCTTTAGAAGCTAAGAGACTGTTAGCCACATATTTCAGGGCTAATATATGTAATTGTTTACCTCTACACAGCAACCAAAATTTAATTTCTATATACATTTACACATGCAATAGACGCTGGTCTTGATTGTTAACGTTTGTGTCTTAATCAACAATAATATGACAAAGCTAAACAGAAGCTATCGTTGTTTCCAAACATGGCCCATTTTGTTCGCGTTAGCTTAGCTTGTATGTGTAAAATAATTGTACATAATTTAAAACCAACGTTCTAGACTGATTTATAGGTTATGCACGGTAACCTGTCTATTCCGTACTTATTTCCTTATACACTAGGTATTACAAGTTCGAAGTACTGTGTATTAAAGTGTGAATAATTGGGTTAGCTGAACAACCTCCACAGTTTCACAGTGTGTACATTCATCCATTTAAAGGCCATGTTTGGCTGCATACACTCCCACCGAACGGGCCATGGTTTATCATATTAATCCCTAAAAGAGTGTCTTTGTTTTAATACCATTGTTAATGTGTTCTCCTAACCCAAGTCAGGACACCATGTATTTATCTATAGGATGTTTGTTTGCAAGTACAACGACATGCAAACCCTGCCCTTGCTCTGCTTTCATATTGTTCTACCCTCGCATATGATGTATACAGTAACTATTATTGTGGTGTGACCTTCTGTTAATGACAACAACAGCAGCTTCACTTTATAAAAGTGAAATGTAAAGACATAGGTGGTCTGTAGTAGCTCGTGACACTATTGTAATATACGTTTTTTACAACTTTAAATTCTGTGTCATGTTTTGATTTAAATTTTTAATATGAATACTTTAATATAATACTTATTGTGTCAGAAGACATCTCTTTTTTATTCTTTCTCAATTTTATGATGTCAAACCTGATTGTTAAAATATATTAGAAAATGTTGCACATTAAAAACACACGGTTCATTGTCATTTTTTTCTTCTTTTCATCAGGTGTGTCATCACTTTAGAGGGTACACTTCTCTGAATTGGATTAATCTTGGCCAGAAGCCTCTTTGGGCCAATAGTCCTTGACAAGATTCTCAATGGACACTTTGCTAAGGTCAGAGATTAGTAGTATTAAAGACACTTTTTGACATTACGTTTTCACCCATGCTAACATTTGTAATACACTCATAGTTGTCACAATGCCAGCTAATGTTTAATGGCTTAAAATAAGTCCCAATAACCATATTTACACCAGACCTCTTGCAAGATTCTTAATATCACCAACAATTTTTTCTGATGCTTGCTAACTTACATTAACAAATGTTTTTGGTGAGACTTAACCATTTAATTAACAATTTGTTTATGGTATATCTTTTCAAAATGAAGATATACATAACAGAACAATTATGGGTTTTTTTTCCTGCTTTGTCAAAAATTAATAGGCGGAGGCCAATTTTTTAATTAATGTCACCTTTAAAATGGATAGATTGCTTCAAGAACATGTTGTTTTAAGCATTGCTATTCTAACAGCAACAAGATGTGCAGATGTGGAGCAGTTAGGTATGATCCTTACTGCCCATTGAGCTAAGCAGCATGGATTGTATTGCCCAAGCCATGACACTTTGCATGTGCTTTGCTAATTATACAAACATGACATTCCATGATATCAAGACTGTCCACAATCCTTCAAACACAATCCTGTTAGCAGTTTATTCATTTGCTTTGCTTAGACTGTAAACTGGTGAGGAAAATGCTGGACATTACCAACAGCAACATTACCAAATTGAAGCTGACTTCAGCAGTGATAGCTGATGAAATCAGCACTTAAACCGTAGCATGTTAAACTGGTAGGCTATAATAGGTTCAGATGTGGTTTAATGATAAACTGAGTTCTGCCAAGCAGGTTGAAACACTTCTGGATGTTAATATTTAGGGTACACTAACAGTAACATACAGACTATTAATGTGGGTCTATCCTAATTTTGGGGCAGTGAAAATATAATAAGTGGCATCAGCTGCTGTACATAATGGGCATTTGTACATTATTTCCTGTAGTAATTTGCAAAAATCATATTAATGCTACGCTATTTTTTTTTTCATATGCACAAGTCATATGTACTAATGAATTGTATTCTTTCTTTTCCCCACACGCTTATGTAACCATAGTGAGGAGGGGAGTGGTGCTTCGGTAAGTTCTTTCATTATCCTGAATAAGAGTGATGTGAAAATGTAATCTTCATAAAATCCAAACTGAAGTTATTTTTTGGCTATTATAGGTGAAGGTTGACGGTCTATCGAATGCAGCTCTAATCAAAACCCTATCTCCCAGAGTGATGCTGTCGAATCATTTCTTGCCCAAAGGGACCAAGACAAAGGTCAACCTGGAGGATCAGAGTCGTCAGAAAGTGTCCTTCAGCTTTGCACAGACCAAGAAGCCGTTGCAGAGCCCCCTCTTTACCCCTTCCAGTTCTGAAAAGCCTGCTGTCGAATCTCTAGCTGCCTTGTCACAGTCAACCCCAGACAACGGAGGGCAGTGTACCGACAGCAATAATGAACAAAAGCAGACATCGATAGTGCCAAAACCAGCGCCAGAGACGCCTCAAATACCACTCTCCTCGGCCACTAAATTAAAACCTGACTTAGGAAAGATGCATTTCAAGAAGCAAATTCTAAGTGTCTCTGTTTCTGAAGATAAACCCACATCTGTTATACCAGAAGAGTCGCATTCAACTGAACTACAGGTTTTGCAGATGTCGGCAAGTGAGAGTGAGACTAAATTCTTAACACCTCCGCTACAAAATATTGACAATGTCAATCCATCTGAGAATACGTATATTGATTCCTCAGAGATTAGATTGTCCTTGAGCCTCAAGAAGTCAACTGCTTCCTCAGGAAAAGATGGGGATACTTCAGGCACTGCTGAAGTGGAAAACAAGATATCAGAAAGGAAAACCAGGCCAGATTCTGATGGAGATTCAGCACACATGTCTTCCAGTCGCCAGTCTGACTCCAAAAGCAGAACAAACTTGGAGAGCAAGGTTAAAGATGTAAAAAAGTCTTCCTCTAGCTCACATCTGACGGATAAGGAAAAATGCTCCTCTAAGCGTTCAGAGAATTATGAAAGGTCGTCGAGTTACTCAAAATCAGACCGTGATTCTAGATATACATCATCTCGATCAGCTCGTTCAGACAAAGAACGCAGAAGGACGAGGTCAAGGTCACGATCTCGATCGCGTGGGCCTCGAACTAGTTCGTCTCACTCCAGATCAGAAAGGTCCAGAGGAGACAGAGGGTCACGCTCTGAGAGGTCGTACTATTATGATTCTGACCGTAGGTCACACAGAAGCTCTCCACGCAGAGAGAGGAAATCTTCGCGATCTCGCACTGACCGAGTGAGAGACAGTTCAGACTCGGAGGAAGACCATAGGAAGACACGGACGAGGACAAGTGATTCAAGCAGATCCTCTGTCTACTCAAGTTCTCATAAAGAGTCGAGATCATCTTCTTACTCAAAATCTGATAAGGCCTACAAGTCCATAGATCCTTCACATTCTTCAGAAATAGATAGAAAATCACTATTTTTAAAATCTGAAAGGACTTCTAAGCGGTTATCAGACTCTGATCAGCAGCGCAAATGGTCACCTGATCTAGACTCCAGTTACCGTAAATCTAGCATTCATTCAAAGTCTGACAGCAGTAGCAAATGCTCTTTCTCTAGCATACATACCCATTCTAATACAAATGACAAATACCATAAAAACAGCTCCAGTGAGTCAGAGGCAGATCACAAGGAAAAATCACAGGCCTCTGAGAGAAGCTCTGTCTCTGATGAGAAGAGTAAAGATCCCCTTCAGAAAAACAATAGATTAGACCACAAACAGATGACACCTTGTAGTTTTTCTTTGAAAGCCACTGGACATGATAGACAGTCAGACGACTTGTCTCACAGCCCTGACAAAACATCACCCTGTCCAACCATCGCAGACAGTTATCGGGTTGACAGTGAGCTTTTCAATCAGCTTCTTGAATCGAAAGATTCATGTACACAGAATGTGTTGGAAGAATTTTCTGTTAAAAAAACAGATGAGACTAAATCTGGTTTTGAAGTTGTAAATAAAAATGCTTCCACAACATCGAGTAATAGCCTCAAACATCTTGATGCCACCCTGGAAAACTTGAACAATGTGAAGGATAGCCTTTCATCCAATAAATGGCCACATGTGAATTTACATGAACCTTCGTGCAATAAATCAGATGGTGCAGTGTTAATACAGGACAAGAAAATTGTTGACGGTTTACCAGAGCCAAAGTCCTTACCTGGTAAAGATGAACCTGCCATGGATAACATGTATGAGGAGACCAAATCAGAGATGGATGAGCCAAATACACTTGAAAAGGAGCCTGACACAAGTCTGCCCCTATATGGAGAGTCAACACATCAGGAAAACATGAACCCGAATCAAGTTACTGTCAAAAAGAGTGGTGGAAAAAAGTCCAGATGGGATATTGTTGGGCAGAGCTCCCACGACAGTGATCAATCACACAGCACGTTGATTGCAGAGAGTAAAACTACTGCTATTAAAGTGATCTCTGTCAAACAAATAGAGGTTACTACTGACAACAGCCAACAGGACTTCAAAATTCGAGATGACATTCCACCGGAAACTGAAAAGTATTTCATGCTGGGGAAACACACTCAAATCTCTAAGCATGAGTGTGGTTCAGACAGCATGTCCATGGATTATTATAACACGGATCAAAATGGGCCCAATCAGACAAGAACCCAGACACATCCATGTGATTTAGAAATCATTAGTTCTGTGAAGACAAAAACAAACGAGACTCTACACAGCAGTGATGCGTCCCAAGTTGATTCAACTGCAAATCTCACCAGCTGGGATGGAAACAATTACACAGAGAAATCAGCAAACGTTGATAATAAAAACTATTTGGTCGAGAGGCCTTCAGCTCATCTTGATGCATTACGAGGACAGAGCGAGGCAAGCGATAGTGACAACTCAGAATATGACTCCGATTGTGGGGAGGCTATAAAACGATTGCACTCGGTGGTGGTGGTGCCAAAGAATTCTTCCTTAGGATTGGATGCACAAGACTCGGGAGCGTCTCAACGTTCTACTAATAATTCAGGACTACAAAGTCATAATTTTAGGGCTAACATAGAGAGCCCTAACATTACAAATCAAATCAGCTCGCAGAGAAGACCACTGAGTCCGTCTGTTTTATTTGGTGGAAATGACTCATCCAGCAGCAGCATGTTATGTCAGTCCCAGAGTAACATGATCGATAGCACGAGTCCCTCTGAGGGTTCCAGTGCCATCAGTGTCCTGTCTCACGTCAGTGATCTTTCCAGTGCCCACAGGACTGCAACAGATTCTGCACACAGCTTTGGTCATTTGGGACAGTATCGAATTGAGCAGAAACAGCATAGCATAAGCAACAAAACTGAATACATTTATGCCCATCACCAACTTCGGGACTTATCCAATAATGACAATTTTAGTAACAAGAATAGAGTCATTACAGGATGGGGATTTACCCAATCAGAGCAGCCAAGTAGTACATATCAGCAACCTGACAGCAGTCATGGACCACAGTTACCAATCACTAAACTGTCAGGAATCTCTCCCAAGGTTCAGGAACATGAGCAGAGTAACCACCAATGGAACCACCAATCTCCACATATGCAGACAAGCAGGACACCATACCTTCATGCACATGAACTTTATCGGGATCTGGTTGGGGAAATTCATCCTGATTCCCTAACCAATGACCATGGTGATTGCAGCACAGACAAATGTTCAAATTTAGGCAGGTCATCTGTTGAATCCAGGGAACCTCACACTGCAGGGTCATCGAGCTCCGTGCAAGGTCATGAAATAAGTAGCAACAGCAGGGGTTCTGTTATCCCTGACCCTCCCAGGGATGTCAACTTTAGACCCCACAGAGGCAGGGGTCCACCCAAAAAAAGGCGTCAAGAGTTCGAGTCAGACTCGGACAACGAGGCGGAGGCTGGGCCTGCGGGAAAAAAAGATCGCCACGGAGATGTTGACACCACTCGGGAACCCGCTGTCAAAGCCGAGGTTTTCCGTCCGTCACTCACTCTGCAAGACTTTCAGGATGCCCTCAGATGGAAAGATCAGGCCAAATCCAAAAAGATGCCTCCGTACTTTGACCTGATTGAGGAAAACCTGTATTTAACAGAGAGGTAAAATTTTATTTCCAGCAATTTCACTATCTGACATTGTTTCAGTATTTTGTTAATAGAGAATTTTCAATTTTTTATTTGGCAGAAAGAAGAGCAAATCTCACCGAGACATCAAGAGGATGCAGTGCGAGTGCCCAATGTTGTCCAGAGAGGAGCGATCGAAGGGAGCGTCAGCGTGTGGGGAAGACTGTTTAAATCGACTGCTGATGATTGAATGGTGAGATGATTATTAGAGAAAAATCAGAACTACAAAGAATTTCCACAGGTAGTGATCAAACATATCTAATCCTTTTGTACCTTACCTTAACCCCGCCCCATGGTGTTTTGATATTGTAATACTGGTACTGCATGAAAATTCTGAAATTGAGATTTTTATGTTTTCCTTCTTAGCTCGTCACGCTGCCTGAATGGAGTCTACTGCTCGAATCGTCGCTTTCAGAATAAGCAGCATGCAGGTTTTGATGTTATCCTGACAGAAGACAAGGGTTGGGGACTACGTGCAGCTAAAGACTTGACTGCGTAAGTCTCCCCAGTTTTCATTCAATATTATTCAGTCAAATTATTTTATTTAAATTGTCAATGGACTTGATTGACTGATGAGTATAAAAAAAACAAAATGTTAAAAAGATATTTTTGTTATAAATTCAGAAACACCTTTGTGCTTGAATACTGTGGTGAGGTCCTGGACCATAAGGAGTTCAAAACAAGAGTGAAAGAATATGCTCGCAACAAAAACATTCATTATTATTTCATGTCCCTGAAAAATAACGAGGTAAGAAATTCTTTACTACTATATTTTTGTATGTATTAGGTGTTTTTACCAGGGGTGTAACAAAAACATTTGACTCTGTTGTGTCATAGATCATCGATGCCACACTAAAGGGCAACTGCTCTCGGTTTATGAACCACAGCTGTGAGCCCAACTGTGAGACCCAAAAGGTATGTTGGTAAAATAAAATAATTTTTTATCGAAGTTGCTGAAATCTGAACCACTTTAAAAACATATTTAATTCTCTCTTCCCTTCAGTGGACTGTTAATGGCCAGCTCAGAGTTGGGTTCTTTACCACCAAGGCTGTCAGTGCAGGAACTGAACTGACATTTGATTATCAGTTTCAGAGATACGGGTACTGTTCTTTAATTATGCATTCATGCATTACTTTTCCTCAATTTTGGCTTTGTGATCTGTTGTTGTCATTATTTATTTGTGTTTATTTGACTAATCATTTCAGCAAAGAGGCACAGAAATGCTTCTGCGGTGCATCCAGCTGCAGAGGCTTCCTGGGTGGAGAAAACCGCGTCAGTGTTCGAGCTGCTGGAGGAAAGATGAAGAAAGACCGCAATCGAAAGAGTGCCCTGACCACGGTCAGTTCTTTGTAGCGTCTATTTAAAATGCAATTATGTATTAATCCTAATTAGTTACAAGCTCACGATGTTCCTGTTAAAACCACTACAACCTTGGCATCCAGACATCGCTAAATCAGTTACACTAAGCTGCTAAATCGCTGTTACTTATACAATGATGGTTTCCTTTTAAAAAGGTTGATGAAGAACTGGAGGTGTTACTGGAGAATGGAGAAGGCCTGTATGATGAGAAGCAGGTGGTGTCTCTCTGCAGACTCATGGTTCGAGTGGAAACATTTGAGCAGAAGCTCACCTGTCTCAAGCTTATCCGAGTAAGACATCACATGTTTGACTCCAAACATCATTTTGTTTTGTTTCCATTTTTTTAATACTAATTGTCACATGATTGCCTCTGCACCTAGGACACCCAAAATCCATCGTGCCTGAAGCAGTTCTTGGACCACCATGGATTGTCTTTGCTGTGGATTCTTATGGTGGAGCTTTCTGAAGCTAAAGGCAACAGCGTCAATAACATCAAACTGCAGTCAGAGGTGTGACACATGAATGCATCTACATTCCTTCCTTCCTGAGTCCTTCATTCATACACGGTTATATAAACTTCTACTTTTGTTACAGATTATGAAGGCTCTGGCCGTCCTTCCCATCTCTACTAAGAACATGCTGGAGGAGAGCAGGGTCTTGACCTTCATTCAACGATGGGCCCAGACTAAAGCTCTCCCTCAACCTGCTGAGATGGACGGCTATTCCAGCGAAAACACCTCCCGTGCTCAAACGCCCCTTAACACCCCAGATGGTTCCTCGGCCAAAATGGGCCCAGATCTGGATGTCGACAGCTCCAAACCCGCTGTGTACCGCCGCCTCAAAATCATTAGCGAAAACAGTCTGGACAGCGCACTGTCTGACGCCAGCAAAGCATCTGACGGTAAGGAGGACGAGGAGGAGGACGACGAGGAAGAAGATGACTCCTCACAAACTGGAGCTTCTGAGAGCAAAGAGCTTAAGTCAGAGCCACTCTGTGAAACTTCAGATCCAACAAAAGATGCTGTTGAAGATTCAGAGGAGAAGGACAAGAACCAGCAGGAGGAATCACTGTCCTCAACCAACCAGGATCAATCTCAGAATCAGGAAATAGAAATACGGTTGAATGTGAACACAGAAGACGAGAACACAGAGAGCAAGGACTCAACACCTGAGGACCTGAAAGATGGAGACCTGAAGGATGTAGACCTGAAAGATGGGGATCTAAAGGATGGAGACCTGAAGGATGGGGATCTAAAAGATGGAGACCTGAAGGATGAAGACCTAAAGGATGGAGATCTGAAGGAACATTTAGTGGAACAGAGTATTTTGCCAGTGTCAGAGAGCACAGAAATTGAAAGTGACCAGCCTGCTGTTAAATGTCCAGAGTTGGAGAACGAGTCCATCCAAACAGATGTTACCGATCATTTGAATGAGCAGCCATCAGAACAGATGGAAGTGCAGTCGGAATCACAAGAGACTGACAAAGCTCCTCTTAGCAGCAATCCACAACCTGGTGAATCCACTGCTGATATCCCCCAAAACTCTGCGATCCCAGAGACCAGTATGCCTTCAGAGATCCCACTGGCCCCCATAGATCCATCTGTGATCGGAACTCCTTCTCAAGATGAGGAGGAAGGTGTCTCAGATGTAGAGAGCGAAAGGAGCCAAGAGCCGCAGCTTACTACTGTGGATATTTGTGGCATGGCTGCCAGGCTACTGGACAGTTGGAAGGATCTAAAAGTAAGATAACATCGAACATTTCTAATAGTGATCTTTTCTGGGTTTTACAGTATTATTGTTATTCCTTCTCAATCATATGTTGCTTTTATCCTTCTAGGAAGTGTACAGAATACCAAAGAAGAGTCAAGTGGAGAAAGAGCCAAGTGGTAAGTTACAAAACTTTTGTTTTTGACCAGGTATTTTTTTCTTTCGTACGATTCTTATTAACCAGGGAATGTTTCAGATCGCAGCAGAGACAGAGACACCGCTTTGACACCACGCGCAACATCTGGTAGCAGAGAACGTGAAAGGGAGCGAGAGAGGGAGAGAGACCGTGAGCGGGATTATGACCGTGATCGAGACTGGGACCGAGACAGGGATAGAGAGCGTGATCGTGACCGAGGCTCAGAAAAAGCACTCCGCAGCGCAGAAAGACGGAGAAGGCGATCTGTTTCCCCGCCACCATCTTCCTCATCATCTTCATACGAGAGAAGCAGTCGTCGCACTGAGGAACGGTAAGAATATTTAGTAATGTTTTTAGATTTTCAGGAACATCATTGAATAAATCCTCATATGTTTCTGGAGAATGGACACAGCAGTGGTCAGTTGTCCATTATAATTATCACTATCTAATTTTCTTAATTTCCTTTTTTTTAAGGTTTGATCCAGCTAGCAATAGCAAGACACCAAGGGGAGTCGGGGGCAAGGAGCGCAATAAGTTGTCAACAGAAGAACGCAGAAAACTGTTTGAGCAGGAGGTGGCTCAAAAGGAAGCCCAGAAACAACAACAACAACAACAACTTCAGCAGCAGCAACAACAGCAGCTTCAAACTATGGCTTATGACCCTAATCTGGCCTACGCCTCCAGCTCTGGGTTTATACACTACCCCCCTGGATATCCAATCCAGACCTTTGTGGATCCAACAAACCCAAATGCAGGCAAAGTGCTGCTCCCCACCCCATCTGTTGACCCGGCCTTGAGCTACGATCAGACCCCTGCTCCGCAGCAGCTTCTGTCAGACATGGCCCTGACCTCTCCGTCCTCCACCTCCCAGGCCACTTCAGTTTCAAGTCTGTCTCACCACATCACAACCACCAGCATCACAGCTGGGACCCCTCAGCAGCAGCAGTATGCGCCGACAAATGTAGCAACCCAGGACGGGGGTGTAGCTGTCCTCTCTGTCGCCGCACAAACTGCCCCCCAGGTACAGAGCCAGCAGAGCTACACCACTCTCTGGGACCCCAACACTCAGCAGACTGTGACTGTGCAGACGCAGCCAACTCAGCAGTATGCCACAGCCCCAGCACAGGCCCAGGCACAGACAGCTATTTATTACCAAGGTCAGCCGTGCCAAACCATCTACAGTATCCCCACTGCTTACCCCCAGGCCAACACTCCAGTCATTCAGGTGAGTGATTTCCTCTGGTCCGCATTTTATTTTAGTAAATACTACACATTCTTTTTCATAAAGCATGCTAAAAATGGGAAACCTTAAAAAATTATTTGGGAATAAAGCGATAAACATGAACCACATGTCCACAGTATATTCCATTACTGAAGACAAATGATGATTAATCTATATACACACAAGAAAATAACAGCAGTTATAAACATCTGGTTTTTTTTTTTCATTTATGTCTGATCCAAAAGACTCAATTATTAACATGGAAAAAAAATACTTAGACAAATGTGCAAAGTTTCATAGAGTTAGTGTGAAGGTTATGTAACGCCCTGCCCCAGTTTAACATGTCTAAACTGATTGCACTTGTGTGTTTGAAGGCTTACACTGAATCTACAGCCAGCTACCTTCATGGCCAGCCTGTATATCCTGGCCATCAGCAGGGAGTGGTGGTGCAGCAGGGAGGCACCGTCACCACCATTGTCACATCCCAAACTGTGCAGCAGGTAACACACACACACACACACTCGCACACAAACCAACCCATTACATTCAAAACTTCAAAGAAGTAAACTAAAGTACTGAAGACAACATTTGCAGTGTTTACAGCCAAAACGGGTCAGTGGTTCACAAATGTGACAGAAGATAATACTCAACTGATTTTTTTGAAAAACATTTTTGGATGGAATATAAAGAGAGCCTGCTAAATTATGGATCTAGTGTTCCTATTAGGCTGTGTTCTTGCTGTGTATCAACTACTGAAATCCCTAAAATTGTCTGTTAGTGGCCTAATAATTTCCCAGAGGTCAAATGTCAAATATCGTTAGTCACCCTCTGTATTTTAGGCCACACTTGCATAATTACACATCTTAATGATTACCTTCATTTTAATGTAGTTTTTTATGTGCTGCTATATGTTGGTGTGGCCACAAGGGGGAGCACAAGTCTACATTTACAAGTATTCCCATTGAAGCAATGTTAGATTTGATGGAAAAATGTATCTTCCCCTTTTTCTCCTATTTAGGAAATGATTGTACCCAACAATGTGATAGACCTTCCTCCACCTTCTCCCCCCAAACCCAAAACCATTGTCCTACCTCCTAACTGGAAAGTCGCCCGGGACCCTGAAGGCAAGATCTACTACTACCACATCGTCACAAGGTTGGTGTTGCACTTTGTCTTCACAGTGTAGGTTCCAGTGTAAACAGGTCTGCCCTCTGGTCTGTCAGTTTGAACCACATTCAAACAATAACACACAAAACAACTCTGGGCCTGAAAGGGAATTTTATCTGACTGTTTATGTTTTATACAGAAAAATGAATTTCAACTTGCAGTTTTTCCAATGCTGAAATGTGCAATGAGGTGTTTATTTGTGGTGATGTAAAACATCTGTAGCTACTGTAGTAAATACGGTGTCACAGTATTAGAGTATTGAAACTTTGACTTTTATTTTTTTTGGACTTAAGAACAAAGAAGGTCAATATATTTTATAAACAATCTTAAAGGCTTTCCTTAAATATCTTTCTCACGCAAACATAACCATTGACCTCTTTCACAAGATGAATGCAGACCTTGAAAAACTACGTTTGTAAACTCATACCCCACAAAGACCTCACAAAAACTCCTGTCTCACATTACTTCCTTGTTCACGTTAGGCAAACACAGTGGGATCCTCCGACATGGGAAGGAAGCACCGACAACACTAGTGTGGACCACGAATCTGAGATGGACCTGGGAACGCCCACGTACGACGAAAACCCTTCCAAGGTGAGTTTTTACCATACTACGTGGACAAAAAAGTTGAGGAAAGGTGACATTTACAGCCGGTCCCTCAGAAGGTCTGTTGCTTTAATGAGAAACATAATTATAGTGTTTGTCCCTTGACGTAATTGAAGATGCTGCAGTAGTGATGACTTTCAGCTGTATCGTAAAGAAGGCCGAAAAAAAAAAAGAACAACCATGAACACAACCCTGCACTCAGTGGGTGTGTGATGCTCAGCAGAGACTCCGCCCCGAGTGAAACTCATCTGAATCTACGGAGAGATTTGAAGAGAATGTACCTTCCCCACCCCCAACTCAACTGTCTGTCCTTTAGCCTGGAGGCAGCACAGGGAGGGGTGACTCTGCTCATCCTCTCTCTCCCGCCTCTTTGTTTTCCCCTCTTCATTTATATCCTAACTTCTCGCATAATGAAAGCCATCTGGATGAGCCAGCATTCATTTATTTGTGGTCTCTTAACTACATAACTGACTTGTCACATGTGTCTTAAATAGATCTCTGGCTTTGAAAAAAAAATCAAACTTTGACTGAGAAGATTGACTTTTTTTGTGCAGGGTGTTCTGCCAACTACATGGTCACAGACCATTTCCTCAGCATGTGCTTGCTTTGACCATGTGTTGTCCACGGCACATGCTACTCTGCTCATGCACCCAGTTTTGGTTTAACTCTTTTCTTCGTTCTGTGTCCTTGGCACCGTCTGTTTGGGAAAATTCTTTTTGTACTTGCTTTTGATCCTCACTACTTTGTTGTGGGTGAAGCCAGTCAGCTGTTGCCCACCTGCCCTGTTGGCATCCTGCTAGGCTAAGGCTAGCAGGATGTTCCTGCTGTCTGTCAAGTTGCTACTGAGCAGGTGGTGTTTGATACCCCACTGACCTTGATGGCTACTGTCCTGTCGCCTTATATAGATTAATGAAACAGATGGGGCCACAGACCAGGATAAAGTAATTAGAAGATCTGCTAAGAAAAGCTACGCTAATTTTTTAGCTATGTAAAAAGGAGGGATCTGCAACCTTCCGAGCCACATGCGGCTCTTAAGCCTCCTTGCACTATCTAACCACAATAGACCAAATTGTGCCTGACTGTGCTGATACATCAAACCAGTATAAGTAGGCAGCAGTAAGAAAGAACCTACAATTATTTTATAAAAGAAAGCTAAGCTAAACCAATTTTACACATCTCACAGTTTTTTAAGCTTTTGCTAATTACAAAACGATATGCAGGGATCCTCAACTTCGGTATACCGTTCCTAGGGCATGACATAACTTGATTTTCACTGCTCGTAGGGACTAACATACAGTACATTAGTACCTTTGTCACTCACCTAATCTAACACAGTGGTAACATCATAATCAAGGACACAAAAATATCAGAAAAGTCCGACAAGTATAAGTCATAATAAAGGCCAAAAAAACAACACAAACGAAAGTTGGGGAATTCGGCACAATCCATAGTATGATGCACAACCAGCGAATGTAAACAAAGCCATCTTATAGAACAACGTGACAATGTAATGGTCTGCTGAAAATTTGTTTGAACTCTGCACGATGGAACAAGACTTTAATAAATTTATGGGAGATGACGACATAACCACGTAATGCCGTAGAGGACCTCGTAAACCGAGGACTTCCTGTCTCTGCACTGTCCTTTTAACCTGTGCTCAGGTGTGCAAATTTAAGGTGTTGACCTAAGGTCATTGGAGGTTATTGTAGTGTGTTACACTAAATATCGAATGGTGTATATCATTGGCTTTGGTTCTGCAGGTGAAACGGTAACAAACAGTCAACACCTGCATTTTGTGCTCAAATAATGTAAACCATCTTCTCCTAATCCATCATTTTGATCCAACCGTTCTCCACAGTTCTCCACAAAGACAGCTGAGGCGGACACTTCCAGTGAGCTGGCTAAAAAGAGTAAAGAGACGTTTCGCAAAGAGGTGAGCCGCGTCCTCTGACAACACTTGTCAAAACACCGAAATTTATCTCCAGATGGTTCCGCTTTCTATCACTCTTCGCCTTTACAGACACACACATTCTCACATGCAAGTTTTAGTTTGTTTAGACTGGCGCTTCTTCTATTATAAGTGTCTTTTTGTCCATCCTCCCAGATGTCCCAGTTCATCGTGCAGTGTCTAAATCCTTACCGAAAGCCAGACTGCAAATTGGGACGTATCAGCAACACGGAGGACTTCAAACACTTGGCTCGGAAGGTAAGAATGTATTTAAAAGTCTATACTAGTGCTGGTCAAGGATTAGAACTGAAACACATGACGTTCTGCCTTTAATGTCATGGTTCTTTGCAAAGTATGAATTTAAGAGAAATTTGCATGTAAATTTTAAAAGTCTTTCACTTAACCGCAAGGTATCAACAGTGTGTATTGCATTTAATTGGACACAAAAATACTGCAGTTATCACTGTAATAAACTTATCTTGGTTCTGTTAAATTCACAATCTGGACGAGATTCCAAATAAAAATGTCCGCAAAAGTTCAGGTCCCTACCAGTTTTTTTTTTCTGGTTCACGTGAGAGCTGCAGCAGTCTAAGCCCCACCCCAGATAATCTCATTGGTAATAATGCATGACCATCAGTATCCTATACTTTCTGTCACCCAGGTTTTCTGTCTGGGAGCAGCAGCAGCAAGAAGTGCCTTAATATGAGATTTTTTTTTTTTAATTGTCAGAACTGATTATTCATGCATTACTTTCCCAACACTCGTTTAATCACACAGTTACTATTTTTCTGTTTTCCCTCAGAGACTTCTAAACCTTTATCTATCAGCACTTTACTTCAAATGCCAGGTTTTTCAAAGTTTCTCTCAGAGCAGAACTGGAGAGTTGAGCTCTCACAAATTCTTCCTTCAGCCACATGTTTTTCTGCTCTGCCTCAGCGTGAGACTGAAAACATGTTGTACATGTAAACCATTATCTTCCTTCTCTTTTGTTTCTCTCTGGCTTTTCAAACTTCACTTGCAACAACTGTTACTCACAAACCCCGGCTTCACTCTCTGTCGTTCCAAGTTGTTTCCCGATTGTACACTTAATTATAAAGGACAAAAATCACTTCAAGGGAACGAACCATCCAAACCGCGGCGTGCATGTACGCTGTAATTACGTTACTTAGTGCCGTCTGGTGACAAGAACTATGTTTAATTATTGTGTCATCTTTCTGCTCAAACTTGTAGCTCACTCATGGAGTAATGAACAAGGAGCTGAAGGCGTGCACCAACCCCGAGGACCTGGAGTGTAACGAGAATGTCAAGCACAAGACTAAGGAGTACATCAAGAAGTACATGCAGAGATTCGGCTCTGTGTACCGGCCTAAGGAAGACACGGACGTGTATTAGCCCCCCCCCTCGCCCCCAAGAGGCCACTCATGCTTTGCATTAACACAGGAGAAGCAGAGGTTCTGTTCACTCCTCCACCTACGGACCGATGGCCCTGAAGCGTGAAGTAGTTTCTTAGCTGTATCTATGACTAAGAATAAGAATTGCACTGCTGCCCGAGGAGCTCTCCAGGCCACATGGATCAAGAGAAAGCCCTTTTTCTGAAGACTGTCAGAGAATCCAGTGCTGCTGCCGTACAGCCTGAGTGTCCATGTCCATGTGCAGTGTTCTCAGCAGAAACACTGAGGGGTGCTAAAGAGACTCAACTGAACTCACTGAACGTTTGATTTTAAGCATTTTTTGTTTGTTTTTCATTTGTGGCTCTTAAAAGGTTCTCAAGATGTTCACCTCAATTCCACTTTTTTAACTCTACTGTTTCACTCAGCTGGAACTCCTTTGTTATCAGGTGTATCCATTTATTTAATTTCCAATTTTTCCAAAACGTACCTCTGACAGACCCCCACAATCCACGCCACGTATCTCGTATGTGGTGCTGCTTTAAACAGAGGTCTGGAGGTCTGCCCCCCCCACTCCTCATCTCTGTTCTTAGGTGATAGCATGATGTAAGCTAAAGTTAGCAGGAGCTGGAATAAAGGAAAATTCCTGTTTTCATCGTCCCTACTTCAAGTCGTACAGTCAGACTGGGACAAGCTTTTTAGTTGCGTTACTCCAGAAGATGTGCAAACAGGTTAGAGACTTGTTTTATGAATAATGTGATGTCGTTAATAATGGGTGCAGGGTTTGAAAGTCATGTTTGATGTGCTCTTTAGCCTCGTGTCAGTTTTGTTCCGCATTTCCTGTCCACACCTTAGTTTCCTCCTCTTATAGGACTAGCTACGGTATAGCTCTAAAGCGAAGGTCGTAGGCAGACACTTTTAACAGTTTCTGCTCATTAAACCTGTTCTGCGTTTTTTTTTTTAAATAAACTTTTTTTTTTCATGATTTAACTCAATGTTACATAAGATATTTCCAATGGGCAGAGCAGTCTGAGTACTAGGTTACCGATTTGTGGCAGCCTATTTAATTGCATTAAACAAAGTTTCACCATGTGTACATTGCTTTATATGTGAATATATTGAGAAGTAGTTTTGGGGGTGTTTAAATAAGCAGACACTTTGTTTAAGGACTATCATTTCATAATTGAAAGTGTAAATAATGTGTTTAATTACCAAAGCTGAACACGGGAGACCAGGGTAGGGAGCACCCTGTGCCCACCTGTCCCCACTAGCTCAGCCCACGTGATGCAGTGTCCGCCTCAGTCTGATTAACTTAGGAGCCCACTGACTCACAGTCCTCTATTTTATTTCAGTGGTGGGGGTGATTTCCCATATTTTTTTCTTCTTTTTTTAATATTTGTTCTTATTTTTCTATGTACAAAGTATGTTTTCACCCTAATCTACTGTAAGTATTGTGTAAGCACATTGTCATACTGAGTGTACAAACATTTTAAAAGATAATAAACTTTTTTTTGTAAAATTACATACATAAATGTTGTCTACTTACGTTTTTTACGGTTTTTTATACATTCGGTTCATATTTGGTACACGACTGCCATCTTCTGGTCATTTTGTCCTTTCATTCGACACTACAAATCAATTAAACTCGTATTCTTTTGCATTCATGCTGCAAAGATAGAACCAGATTGCGTGTTATACAGCTCCTGACATACAGTCAAATCTGTTTCTAAAAATACACGTATTGTTAATTATATTTATTTTAAACAAACAACTGTTCCGCTGCTTGATGCTAACTATCTGGTCAGCTAATTACTTGTAGGTACATTTTTAGCGTCACCATTTTGCACAAACGTTCACATTGAATGTCTCAATTTAAAGTTACTTCATTCGTCATGTCATTTAATCCATTTATAAGTTTATAATAAATAAATTATTTTGCGTTTATAAAGGTTTGTCACACATTTTATTGCATTCAAACGGGTAATATACATAAACCGAACTTAAACCGAACAAAATAACAGCCCCGTAGACAGCCATTTAATATAAAAAAATAAAAAAGAGACAGAGCACTATTGACAGTTATAGCTATTATCGTAAAGTATTCTTTATAATTATTCACATTTTCATTTTAAATACAACCCCAATAGCTTTGAAGAGACCCGCATGCGCTGGAAGACGACGTGACGTCACGCGCAGGACGCTGTGTTTACGGAAGTAAATACGGACGCTACACACGACAGCGTGGGTGAATTCGTGGCAGCGATTGTGAAATCTTTGTCAAACATTTTCGTGGTCGTGCCATCAATCCGAGAGCTCCCCCCAGTCCCGTGACAGGGATCATCGTTCCCCGGCGTCCACCGTCTTTAAATGGCGATGCCAGTTTTCCCGCAGCATCCGATGCCGGCGAAGGGAGCGACACATTGACATTATTGTTGTACTCACCGACCGGCTCCAGCAACGGTGTCTGCAACCTGTGTTACTTCCATTACTCACTGCCTTCACCCTCGTTCTGCGCAGAAGTGTCTCACGTCAATGACGTAAAAGTCGGATGAAACGCAAAATAACAGGTCAGAGGTCGCGATGAACACACCTGCTTTAGAACCAAACATGAGCTCCACATGGTTACAATGAGCCTCAATTGCAGCTTCAAGTAGAAGAAACATGATTTTATTTTTAAACACCTTTTACAACACCCAAGGATACTGCACAATGAAACACAAATATGTTGATAAGCTGAGTGGATTTTGCTACACAGCAATGTCAAGTGTTTAAAGCTAGTTGTGCTTACAAAATATTAGATTTAGTAATTTTTTTTTTACTTTTTGTGATGTCAGAGGTAATACATGAATGGGTCAAGCTGATGGAATGGCAACAATAACTTGAATACTAAAATATTCAAAAGTTGTGACGTGTGCTGAATACAAATCATGTCAAACACCGAAAAACCACCTCTGTGGCCAGATTCTGTTAGGTCCAGAACTTCACAATAAAAGTTTGCAAGAAAAAAAAATCCCTGATCTCCCAAGTATAGTTTTATTTATCAATGTATATAAAGGGATATACTGATATGAAGGATTTGTTCTTGGTTCATTATGAGCTTCCTAGTACCAGCGGAGACCATGGCCACCCCTTTCCAAAATGATCTCAAACGCTTTTAAACATGTTTTAAACAAGTGTCCACAGTCACCAGATCTTAGTCCAACCCAGAAACTGACTCCAACAAATCAGAAAACAATTGTTCATCTACCTTGTCAATACGGACCAAATCGACTCAGGCATATGTAGATGTACCTAATGAAGGGGTCCGTGATTATATCAACCTAAAAAGCTGTGATTTTATGATCTGCTGAGCTGAGCGTCCGTTAGGTTTCTAATTAGAGGCCCCACGTGGTCACGTGCGGCCCGTGGGAAGATAATCACAGCGATCGGCTGCCTTCGTCAGAAACTTTTCACTTAACGCCAAACATAACGACACGTGACACGCGGAAAGAGATTCTGCTGCCGCTGCTCCTCTCGCTGCTCCTCCTTCTGCTGCTGTAGCCACGCCTTCCCCTCCGCATCCCCCACCTTCCTTCCGAGAGTGTGCACATTCCGCAGCCCGGTGCCTGTGTGCTCCAGACCGCAGTTAAGCAGTCCCGTCTGGAGAGTGTGACGGCATGAAACGCTGCCCCGGGCCATGCAACATGCCTGCTCCCACTTAAAACTGCAGGCAGAGAGATCATTAACAGATCTGAGCGCCGAGCAGAGCGGGGGCAGGAGTCAGGCTGTGCCTCTGAAAGTAAGGAGGAAACTCTGCTCCAGAGTGTTTCAAAAGAACAAAAAGAAAGGAAAAAAATCATATTTTTATCCGTTCAACCTTTCTAATCATTAAATAACGATTAAACGGATGTTCCTCCGAGGTTTAAATCAGGAAATCTTCTTGAACACCGACTCCCGTGTTAGAGTATTGTATTTCAATTGAAAACATGGCGGTCATTTTACTTTGACAAACATAACAGAAACAATGTTGACAAAGTGTGGTACACGAGCATCCACCAAAGACTCAGCACTTTGTCAACACTGTTTCTCAGAGAGACTCCATGTCTCCACAGGAACGACAGGGTTAGCCATGAGCAGAATAAATGGCGGGAACACGTCTCCAATATTCCAACAGGAATAGAAGGAATTATTCTATAATGTAGATCAAATTCAAATGTGGTGTGGTTGTCCCTGTGGTTGGTAAAAAAATAATCAAGTTAAAACAGATTTCTTTGTCTGTTTTACCAAATATATTAGCATTGAAATAAATGAATTATTAGTGAGCCACATTTGGAATGTGTGTATTTCAGTGGTTCAGTGTCTTTTTTAACATTTTTATACTTTTTTTTAACATGACATCTTTTTTTAGATATAAACTGTGTGAATTAGTGCTGTCTCCAGCTGAAGAAACACCGACTTCTCAGAATTATTTATTAAATGAATACCTTTAGGAAATATATACACAAAAGACGTAGGAGAATGGCACAGAGAAAAAAATTAAACCTCAACAATGCAGATGTCTGTATTTTGTCCGGGGTCTTGATTAGACGTCAGTTACTAATGTATTAAATACAGAAGCATGATCGACATGTTGCTAGAATGCAGGAAAAAACTGATTCCGTTCTGATCCGTCTTCACAGTTCATGGTTGATCCCACGTCACATTTACAAACCATTTTAAGGCACGGACAAACAAAAAAAAAAAAGAAAGAGCAAAGAAATGTAATAAGGCTTGATGTTTGATGTTTATGTACCTGAAACGTACCTGTACGTGTTATTAAAAACGTGAAAAAACACAAAGAAATAACCAGAGTGAGTAGTTCATATCAACAGTACATAGGTGTTCTTATTAAAAAAAAATTAAAATGTGGCTGTAATAAGAGTTTACCTCTAAATTCTTCATTAAGGATTATAACCATTTACATGACTTTTAAGATTTTTTTTAAAGTTTTTAAGTTTTTTTACTTGCTTAGAAATGACTAGAAAAGTAGTAAAAAAAATGTGGTAAAATTCAACACCTGAGGCGATGAAGTTATGAGTTATGGAGCAAGGCTGGTCTGAGCAGAATTACAATTATTTAAGCCAGTGGTTCCCAAAGTGGGGGGCATGGCCCCCTGGGGCACAGAGTTATTGCAGGAAGGCACAAACACAAAGAAAGAAATACAGAACTAACACTGTTCAGACTGTAGTGTTCAGGCTGATGTCGGTTGCGTTTACATGCAATGGGAACAACCGTGCAAATAATCACATCTACGCATAACTTGTGAAAAAAAAATTAAGTTAAATGAAAAGAGCACTTTTAATGAAATTATAGCATTTTATTTTCAGCTTGAAGGTAAAAGCTGATATTATTATTATTATCATTATTATTACTAATATTTTGGAGTGCAGGGGCTTTTCTATAATTCTGTTTGACTGCCCTGACAAAAGGGGGCGCCGTTGAGAAATTTTGGGAACCACTGATCTAAGCAGAGGGTACATAGAGTATTTCAATGCTGAATGTTGGGAAATATAAAACTTTTTTTTAACATTAAACAACACCAGTGGTTTTAGGAAAAAGAAAATCAAACCAACAAATCTACATGTTTTGAATCCAGGCCACATGGAGACTATAGAGGTTCAGTGATGGTCTGAGAAGATTCAGACCAGGATTCTTCAATGTCCATAAAAGGTGATCCTGGTGTTAAAAAATGTCTGACTTTGAGCTTGTAAAACATTTCAACAGTCATTGTTTATTCTGCGGTGAACGACACGTCACAAGAATCCTTCCCTGCTGTGGAGTCCTTTCGGAAATTAGTTTGTTTCACAACCAGAGGAGAAGCCTCTGAAATACTGTGATGTTTTGGGGTCAAAGAGAAATAATATAAAAATGTTGATGTTGTGGAGAAGTGTCAGAGTCAGCCTCGCGCTGTAACAGGCGTTGGTGTCCAGAGTGCCTCCCCTGCTTTTTCAGTCAAAGTCTGTCACATCAGAGTCCGTGACCGCGTGGTCAGACCACGGAGACGCCCTGCGTGGGGCAGGTAAGAGCACTCGCCACATCATTCCTCTCAATCCGGGTCAGAGCGGAACACAGCAGTCCCACAGTGGAGCCTTCTTTCTGGGCCCAGTTAGAGAGAAGCGTGTGAGTGGGGGCTTCTCCACGTCCAACCAGATCCAGCTGTTCTGGTTCGTAGCCCAGCGCTACGCCCAGCTGCCTCCATCCTCGACCCCCTCCCTCTTGCAAGAGGCGCTCCACCTCTTCCTGTCTGTGCGGGGGCAGATTCACGTACAGGCGGTTGTCAAGCTTGCTGTCTCTCTTAGTACCTGGGCAGAAATAAGATGATACGAGTTGACCGACGACATCGACCAGGACCAGATGGATGATACAGAGGAACAAGGCAGTAAATGCCACCTCCTGTGAGGCTCACACTTTGACTATGTGACTTCATTTTTTTTTTGCTGTCAGAACAAAACTTGATCCTTCAGTGAGTTAATGCAAAGAGGCTAAAGTGTGTGCACTAGTGTTAAATAGACCTTGTGATCAGAGGGTTGCTAGATCAATGCTGCCCCCTTCCCCAGACAAAGGAAGTGTAGCTCATTGCTATGAGTGTTTTACATTGAATGAAAATTAGTTTCTAATTTAAATGTGCATAAAGTGGCATTTGTTGCATAAAGATTTGCATAAAATGGCTTTTTATAAAAAAAAAAAAAAGTATAGCATCTCGTCCCTATTTACTCTATTAATCTCTCCTAAAATAACACCACCACCTATCTCACCTTTGCTGGGCTGGTTATCCTGTAGACTGTGAGAGTCCAGGAAAACTCCGCTGTCACTCTGGAGTTTTTCTCCTTCTGGTGATGAGCCCATCTCAGCCGCACGGGCCTTGGACAGAGCCTTCTTCTGTTTACATGTTCTCCAGCTGACATGACCGCAGGAAAACAATGTCAGTTAAATTACACACACACAGTTGTTTGTCAAACTAGGCCCCTGTCTTGAATTCCGTGCTCCTTCCATTTAAGGACGCCGCCCTGGTGGAGACTCACCATTTATAAGCCACATAAATCAGCAGACCCAGCACCACGGCAGCCAGAACAGACACGTATATTAGAATGTTGCTGCTGCCACCCTCGTCCTGTGGGGTAAACTTGGGTGTTCCAGTGGCAGTGCTGGTCTCTCCGTCCTCCGTCACCTCCTCCAGACCAGGGAGACGAGAAGGGTCTTTGGACCCATCGGTGTCAACAGGTCTGGATAAAATGTGCAGCTTCTTATCTGTCAATGAAAGAACAAAAGACGAGTCAGTATGGGAAGGTTATATGTGCACATCCGGGACAGATTTGGGCTCCATAAATTAGGACCAGAAATAATCTGACGGAAGCCTGTGGGTCAGATGTAATGAACCCCTCATCTGTCAGGGGCCCCTGGGGTTTTAGGGCCTTTCATTGCCCCTGTTTCCAGCCGTCTCTCCCTCCTGTGGTCTGACTATTTCAGGATCAAACACCACATCGTACAGTTCTGGTCTCTCAGAGTTCAAAGGGTCGTGACATGGGACCCAGAGTGTGTATCCATGACCTTACTCCTGGAGAGTGAATGTAGCCGTTGGAGAGAGAGTGGGCTGGTCGTCAGGGTCAGCAGCCTTCCTCACTCCTCAGGTTCTTGGGGTCAGATAACCTCACGACCCGTCAGGCCCACAACGATTGGGCCACAGCGCTTTAAGATGACTGCTATTTTTTTTCCCAGTGCAGGCCCAGAGTGTTGCTGCGTTCAGATGAGGTGTGGATGCAGGTGTTGACCACATGTCTTTGTCAACTCCCGGGCCCTCCCCCTCCTCTCCCACCCTCCCCCTTCCTCCTTTTCCTTTCAGCTCATTCTTTTATCGTTTTATCTTCCACTTTTACTGCCTCAGCCTGCGTTAGATCTTTAAGGGCTGGTGCTACGTTATATATTTTTTTTCTTGTCAGCGAATCCCATTAAGAGGCCGAGATCATCCATCTTTCAGTACGGTGGAAACTGATACACTCTCACACACTTTCCCGCAGTTCACCACAGATGGTAAAATAAATGCCACAGATTATGGCTTCATTGTTAAACTGTTATTTCCCTAAAACAGAGTTCAAGTTTGGTAGTCAAGAATAGGAAGAAAAGGAGGATCCACCTAAGGCTCGCTGAAATAAAAGTGGACATGAGCTGCACAATTTCAGTTTCCTAATGGTTTAAGTGTAGAAAAAAGGATGTGACTCAGTCGTAAATTATTATTATACAAAAAAACATTATTATTATTATAATCATTTGGTTTTCAATATTATATTTTACATCTTTAAAATATTTTAAAATGTCATGACCCTGCTGCACTGCTGCTGGGCCCCTGACCCTCCTTTTTAAAGGTCACTGATTTGCTATCTAACAAAAAAAAATGGTTTGTAAGTGAAAACCAGTCTAAATTGTGTGTATTAAGTGATTTTTTTTTACATTTCAGTTTTATGTTGTTGTTTTTTTAAGTTTAATAATGAATCAACTTACAAGCGATTTGTGTAGAGAATCTTCTCAACTGATTTCTGTATGGTTTTCGGTAGACGGTATGTTTTTTGACTGAGGCTTTATTAGAGTAACAGCACAACACAGCAGGTCACAAAAAACCCACATCTTTGCAGAAACGGTTCATTTTCCTTCAGATCAGTTCATCACTGAATAACTCACCCATGCAGAGGGTGTCAGAGTTGGGCAAACAGGACCTGATCTCCACTTCAATGTCGGTGCAGAGGGTGCAGGTCTGACAGGGTTTGGTGCTGATGCGTTCCTCAGAATATGTCCCGGGGCCACAGGCCTCACACACAGTGTCTCCTTGAAGGCCGCACTCACGGACGACGCCCTGGCCGCGGGTGCACTTGGAGCAAGGTGCACACAAGGAAAAGGTACTCATGAAGAAGTAGCCACTGTCACACTCGCAGAGCGTGTCCTGAATGGCCGAGCAGTGGGCGACCATGGGGAGGCTACTTGGGCACTTGGCACAGGCACGGCAGGATTCGAGGTCCTCGGAGGAGGAAAACGTCCCTGGGGAATAAGGTGGAACATTAGTGTGACGGCTAAACAGGTCACAGTGGAGACAGTTTACGTTCGTTAAAGCCCGTTAGGCACATGACAGGAAAAATGCAGAGGCCAAGAGAAGAATACATTCTATATTAGAGAAGTAACAGTAGATGATAATTGTTCACCTCTCGGGCATGGAGCACACTTGGTATCCTCTTTCCCACACGGTGTCTCCACTCCGAAGCCAGCGGGACACAGACTGCAGCACTTCCCCGAGTCAGTGAACTTCTTACTGGCACAGGCGTCTCCAAGGGTTACCTGTGTGAAGAAAATGACCATGTGAGATATTCACTATGTACTGTATTAACACACCTTTAAAAACATGTAATAATAATGTACCACAAAAAACAAAAAATGAAAAAGTCAGCCTATATGAAGATGTAAGCAGGTAAAAAGTAAAGGAAAGTTTGACAAAAACAATTAAAAATGAGTTAATTATAATTAGATAGATTAATAATTAGATAATTAGGACTAAAATCATCAAGTAAAAAAGAGGTTTTGATTAAAAGCTAAGTTAATACATATTTTTAATTGAAAAATTATTAAAATGGTCCTACTAAAATATCACTTAATGAATCAAAAAACACGACTTGACATTTGCAGCGTCTCTCTTGATAGGCAATGACCAAAAACAAGAATATACATGTTTGTGTTTTCCGTTGTGCTGTTTTTTGGCATCACCCACATGTTGGAAAGGAAATTGTTCACAATTCCCCCTGTGGTTCATCAAACAGAGAACTGAGTGACCCCGGAGTGGCCTTTTTTATCTTTCTATTTGCCTCAGTTTTCACCTAGAAAGTGCTCAGGTCCTTATCTGTGAGCGGGTAACGGGAGAGCCCAGCCTGGGCTGTGACATGAGGGATAGATCAGACATTCCTAACGGCCTGTGCAGCAGAGTTACAGACCGACAGGAGTGGCTGGATTTAATCACTTCGCCTTAGTGGAGTGAGAAGACAAACACAGAATGGGTCTGGAAAACGGTCGGAAAAGGGGGAAGGAATAGGCTTTAAAAAAAAAAAAAAAAAAACTCCCCCTCCTATTTATTGCACTTGAAGTGAATGAAGATAAGTTTGTGTGAATGCAGCGGGCGTATGTTTATTCCTCAACAACAGACGCGAAGGTGGAGGTATATAAAGGGGGACAGTTCCAGCCCCAGGCGAGGGTGTCAGTTAACTGTGGCTGCCCAGCATGTGTGTGTCTGTTTGGGTGAGGGGGGGGGGCCTTTGAAGTCACCAAACCCCTGCAGGTGTGTCTATGAAGGTCAGTATTTCACTGGCTCCCCCTTCTGCAGGCTCAGAACAGCGGCATCTTAAACATGCACACATTTAAGACAGATTGGTCCATTCTGCCCGGGGACTGACAAGAGCAAACAGATGTCTTAACAACTGACCCCCCCACAAAGGGGAGAAGTAACAGTTAAACAAGACACTCATGTCTCAGGTCTGCCAGGGACCATGGGCAACGTGTCTGAACATGTAGACCCAGAAGAACACGCACAAATACCACGAGTGCCACGCTCCCAGCCATGAAAACGCTGGAAGGTTCCACGCTGATACCACAAGGAAACAGATTTTGAAAAACGGGCTCGTGCCCATTCCAACAAAAACACAAAGTCTGACTGCAGTGCCTACAGAGGAGCCTGATGATATCTAACCCCCAGCCACAGAACCCAGATCAGAGGTATTAGTGTGTCAGACTGGTGGGATCCAGCCGGCAGGAAGTAGCAGGATGTTTGGAGTTGGCAGACTGTGACCAGGCCTTGGAGCAGAAAAGCCTTCTGGGAGCTCCGACTGGCCCTCGCAAGGTCGCAAACCAAGACTCTCAGCTAGCACCAGCGTGCTCTTTAGCCCTCCCTCTGCTCTTTGATAAACACTCGGTGACTGTGGCTCTGTTTTATTTTCACCTCCAGCTTTGGATCTCAGTCACTCACAGTGGCTGCTGTGAGTCTCAGCTGCCGCCGCGGCTCGTTCAGCTGGGACAGCTCAGCTCAGAGCAGGAACTGCCCAAGTTTTGGCACTTCACCCATTGCCCAAGGGGAACAGTGATCTACTGAGTGGAGGAATGAACAAGTCATTATCTGCTTCAGACGCTGAATGGAGCTGGAACAGCACCATTAGCCTGATTAATATCTGAAACTCTTAAACAGAGTTGAACGTGAACAGATTTCCTCATTGGTTAACGGCAGAATCACACAAAAGACGTCCTTCAGCAGTAACAGGCCCAACAAAAACAGAACAAGGGCAAGTCAAAAAGTCCTAAGACAAATTAAGAAAAGTTCTAAATTTATGAGAATAACTAAGTCCATTTCTTCACATAACCTCAATTTCAGGGGATGTCTTTTGTTGGGGTCACAACCTGCTTCTTTGTCTCATCTGAAAACTGAAATCAAGTTATCTCTAAATGTTCTTTCAGTTCTGGAAAAGAAAAAAAACTTTAATTATTTAAAGAGCTTGTAAATCAAGTTCAGTTAATAAAACACAAACTTTCTTAATCTTCAGACATTTTTTTTAAAGTTGGAAAAACCTAATCAAATACCAAAACATATTATTATTCCCACTGCCAAACACCAAAAATACAAGGTCAAGATCAATTTTATATTTTAAGTTCTGCAACTAAATGCAAATCTATTTAAAAAAAAGGTTTTTTAAATGCTTCAAAATGAAAATTTACACCCTGGGATCTGCGCATGAGTGTGCGCTCATGTGGGAGCTTCTTTGGCACTGTGCACAGGCACGGCAGAATTCGAGGTCCTCGGAGGAGGAAAACGTCCCTGGGGAATAAGGTGGAACATTAGTGTGACGGCTAAACAGGTCACAGTGGAGACAGTTTACGTTCGTTAAAGCCCGTTAGGCACATGACAGGAAAAATGCAGAGGCCAAGAGAAGAATACATTCTATATTAGAGAAGTAACAGTAGATGATAATTGTTCACCTCTCGGGCATGGAGCACACTTGGTATCCTCTTTCCCACACGGTGTCTCCACTCCGAAGCCAGCGGGACACAGACTGCAGCACTTCCCCGAGTCAGTGAACTTCTTACTGGCACAGGCGTCTCCAAGGGTTACCTGTGTGAAGAAAATGACCATGTGAGATATTCACTATGTACTGTATTAACACACCTTTAAAAACATGCAATAATAATGTACCACAAAAAACAAAAAATGAAAAAGTCAGCCTATATGAAGATGTAAGCAGGTAAAAAGTAAAGGAAAGTTTGACAAAAACAATTAAAAATGAGTTAATTATAATTAGATAGATTAATAATTAGATAATTAGGACTAAAATCATCAAGTAAAAAAGAGGTTTTGATTAAAAGCTAAGTTAATACATATTTTTAATTGAAAAATTATTAAAATGGTCCTACTAAAATATATTTTAATGAATCAAAAAACACGACTTTTGCAGCGTCTCTCTTGATAGGCAATGACCAAAAACAAGAATATACATGTTTGTGTTTTCCGTTGTGCTGTTTTTTGGCATCACCCACATGTTGGAAAGGAAATTGTTCACAATTCCCCCTGTGGTTCATCAAACAGAGAACTGAGTGACCCCGGAGTGGCCTTTTTTATCTTTCTATTTGCCTCAGTTTTCACCTAGAAAGTGCTCAGGTCCTTATCTGTGAGCGGGTAACGGGAGAGCCCAGCCTGGGCTGTGACATGAGGGATAGATCAGACATTCCTAACGGCCTGTGCAGCAGAGTTACAGACCGACAGGAGTGGCTGGATTTAATCACTTCGCCTTAGTGGAGTGAGAAGACAAACACAGAATGGGTCTGGAAAACGGTCGGAAAAGGGGGAAGGAATAGGCTTTAAAAAAAAAAAAAAAAAAACTCCCCCTCCTATTTATTGCACTTGAAGTGAATGAAGATAAGTTTGTGTGAATGCAGCGGGCGTATGTTTATTCCTCAACAACAGACGCGAAGGTGGAGGTATATAAAGGGGGACAGTTCCAGCCCCAGGCGAGGGTGTCAGTTAACTGTGGCTGCCCAGCATGTGTGTGTCTGTTTGGGTGAGGGGGGGGGGCCTTTGAAGTCACCAAACCCCTGCAGGTGTGTCTATGAAGGTCAGTATTTCACTGGCTCCCCCTTCTGCAGGCTCAGAACAGCGGCATCTTAAACATGCACACATTTAAGACAGATTGGTCCATTCTGCCCGGGGACTGACAAGAGCAAACAGATGTCTTAACAACTGACCCCCCCACAAAGGGGAGAAGTAACAGTTAAACAAGACACTCATGTCTCAGGTCTGCCAGGGACCATGGGCAACGTGTCTGAACATGTAGACCCAGAAGAACACGCACAAATACCACGAGTGCCACGCTCCCAGCCATGAAAACGCTGGAAGGTTCCACGCTGATACCACAAGGAAACAGATTTTGAAAAACGGGCTCGTGCCCATTCCAACAAAAACACAAAGTCTGACTGCAGTGCCTACAGAGGAGCCTGATGATATCTTAACACCAGCCACAGAACCCAGATCAGAGGTATTAGTGTGTCAGACTGGTGGGATCCAGCCGGCAGGAAGTAGCAGGATGTTTGGAGTTGGCAGACTGTGACCAGGCCTTGGAGCAGAAAAGCCTTCTGGGAGCTCCGACTGGCCCTCGCAAGGTCGCAAACCAAGACTCTCAGCTAGCACCAGCGTGCTCTTTAGCCCTCCCTCTGCTCTTTGATAAACACTCGGTGACTGTGGCTCTGTTTTATTTTCACCTCCAGCTTTGGATCTCAGTCACTCACAGTGGCTGCTGTGAGTCTCAGCTGCCGCCGCGGCTCGTTCAGCTGGGACAGCTCAGCTCAGAGCAGGAACTGCCCAAGTTTTGGCACTTCACCCATTGCCCAAGGGGAACAGTGATCTACTGAGTGGAGGAATGAACAAGTCATTATCTGCTTCAGACGCTGAATGGAGCTGGAACAGCACCATTAGCCTGATTAATATCTGAAACTCTTAAACAGAGTTGAACGTGAACAGATTTCCTCATTGGTTAACGGCAGAATCACACAAAAGACGTCCTTCAGCAGTAACAGGCCCAACAAAAACAGAACAAGGGCAAGTCAAAAAGTCCTAAGACAAATTAAGAAAAGTTCTAAATTTATGAGAATAACTAAGTCCATTTCTTCACATAACCTCAATTTCAGGGGATGTCTTTTGTTGGGGTCACAACCTGCTTCTTTGTCTCATCTGAAAACTGAAATCAAGTTATCTCTAAATGTTCTTTCAGTTCTGGAAAAGAAAAAAAACTTTAATTATTTAAAGAGCTTGTAAATCAAGTTCAGTTAATAAAACACAAACTTTCTTAATCTTCAGACATTTTTTTTAAAGTTGGAAAAACCTAATCAAATACCAAAACATATTATTATTCCCACTGCCAAACACCAAAAATACAAGGTCAAGATCAATTTTATATTTTAAGTTCTGCAACTAAATGCAAATCTATTTAAAAAAAAGTTTTTTAAATGCTTCAAAATGAAAATTTACACCCTGGGATTCATTAAAACACACAAATTAGTTTAAAATACATTCTGGAACAATAATTTTAGGTCTTTATTCAATTTTCGGAAACACTGATCGAATTTTCTAGGATCACTGTTTAATCTTTTAATTCCTTCAGAAAACGACTGAAGTGTTGGGAAAATGATCTGTCTGAACTCAGGCGACGTAGGAAAAGGAAACAGAGTGATAAAACTGTGGGTTTAAGAAACTCTGGGCTTTCATTTGAACTGCATTGATAATAAATCTTATGAAAACATGCCATTTGATGATGCTAAGTAAAGGAGTGGGATTTATAGTCCTTGCCAAGGGCGGGGGCCAAAGATGACCTCACAATTCAGAGGAGCAGGACGACTTATATAAACTCATCGGGTGAACGCAGCTTATTTTAGAGACTTTTCAGACTTCTGATGTTTGGTGTTGAGACTTGAAAAGGTTGCTAAAAGTGTGTATTTGCACAAAGAAGACACAAACAGCAGTGCAGACACTGCTGGGAGTGTTTCTCAGACGCTTTAGCACGAGCAGTAAATGGATTATTATGGGAGCTTAACTGCCTCCCTTTGATCTGATCTTCTCACGATATCGTATGTTGACCTACTGTTTTATTCTTGGCAAAAATAAATATATTTGTGTTTGCTCACAGTCACCCCAGAGACACTGTATCTTAGATGAAGGAGGCTGCAGTCACAGTGGGCTTTTTCTTTTTTTGCCTCGAGGTAACAAGCTGCAATCTGAAGAGAATCCCTGGTGAGAACAGACTGACAGACCACCGAGGAGCACGGCTTTCAATGGGGCACTCAACCCCACGGCTGCCGGAGTCGGTCAGTCAACACACACACGCACACACACACACATATACATATTGGGTGTTGTGTTTTCTAAGCATTTCAAACAGAATGCATTCTCTAGCCTTACAATAATAAATCATAACCTTAATCCTTCCACTAAGTTAAATCTAGTTCTCCACTTAGGTTCAGACCACATATTAAACCTCAACTACCCTCTCACTCAGTGGGGACCTGCACTTTGTCCCCATAACAGTGGAATGATTTCCCAAAAAAAAGAAGGTCCCCATAAGAAAAGCTGAATACCAGGAACACACAGGGACACACACAAACTGGTTGTTGTGTGTTCGTAAGTACTTCAAATAGACACACTGCATCCTCTAGCCTCCTATACTATAAACCTAACTATTACAATGAAAGTAAATCCTAATCCAGTAATCCAATCCTGACTTTAACTGCTCTCCTAACTCCAGACCCTCAAACACACTCTCACTCAGTGGGGACCTACAAAATGTAATGGGAAGTCAAACACATGACTTGGTGAAGACACAGGAGCTCAGTGGCCAGTTTGTCTGTCAGTAAAATCAGCCCCAGTTGAGGGAAAGTTGCCCAAATTCATGCTCCAATTTGCACTGATTTCTGGCAAACAGGGAACGACAGATAAAAAGAAGAGTTTTTTTCTCTCTCTCTCTCTTCTCAGAAACCTCTGCCAATGCTGTCATCTGAGACCAGCTCCACAATTTTCCAATGTCCTTCTTTAATTCCTTCTTCAGATGTTTAGAAGTGACTGCAGTCTT